CTATAAGACGTTATTTAGGTATATACTTAATTAATAATAAACCTTAATTACCCTATATTTATATAAGAACTAAAGAGCAGCCTATAATAGGAGAAGTTATACTTTAAGATTCTTAAACCTTTATATAGTATCCCTAAATCGGGTAACTACTAGTATAATACGTATATTAAATAATATATAGAAAAGCTAGATATATAGTAATCGACCTACGATTCCTACTTACTCTATATAAATAAGGTAGGATTTTAGGTTATAATTAGACTTTAGACTAATAATACTCTTATTCTTAGTAATACTACGTTTATAGATAAGGAGAAGGTAGAGTCGGTTATATTTAAATCTAAGCTTACTAAAGAATTAACTTTAGATAAACCTTTAAAGTTTAATAGTAGTAGGATTACCCTAGCGAAGGATAGTACTATTATACTTACCTATAATTATAGAGATCGAGTTAAATTAGTAACTAATAAAGTTACTAATATTATTAGCGCTTATAGTATTATTTATAAGGATTATTCTATAAAGGATTAATATATTACTTAATAAGTACTAGAAGCTTATATAGCTATAGTATACTAACCCAAGGTATTATTTAATCTAAGTGTTATAGTATAAACTCTAAACCTTAAGAAGAGTAATATTAATATATTAAGTAAGCGCCTTTAATAGTTAATTAATAATCTAAAGAGTAGACTTAAATATATATCTTTAGATATTAACTTACTAAAGCTTATATTATTTATAGATACTTCTTTTATAAACCTAACTAACCTTTCCTCCTAAATAAGCTATGTTTTATACCTAGCGAATAAGGATAATAATACGGTTATTTTATACTAGAGTTTTATAAAATATAGATAAATTATATAAAGTATATTAGTATCTAAGTTATATACTTTAAGTAGCGGGTTCAATATAGTAGAGGTTATTAAGTTAACGCTAAAGGCTATCCTAGGTAAGATACTTAAATTAATAATTTATATAAATTCTAAGTCGATATATAATACTTAATAAATCTTAGTATAATAAAGGAGAAGCGTCTTATAATTAACGTAATAGTATTATACTAGGCGTATAAATAATATAAAATCTACGAGATTCTTTAGATTAAGGGAACTATAAATCCTACCGATATAATAACGAAATTAAAGCCTTACTAGGTACTAGTTATACTTATTAATATAAATAAGATTAAGATTATAGTCGAAGAGTAGGTTAAATATAAGGATATTAGTAAAGGACAAAATAATAATAATATAGAGATTTAGTAGATTTAGATAAATTTACGAATTATAAGGTATCGATAGACTTAATCGATATTAGGGGAGAAATTAACGGATTTAATTAGTTAAGGACTTTAAAATAATTAGTTATTTATACCGAGTCTTTTACTTCTTTTAAAATAAGCCCAGTATCGCTATGATATCCGAGTAAATATACTCGGTAGTACGGACTACCTAACTAGGCTAGTCCTACTTATATTATTGTAGTACGACTTCTATACCTTTAACTCGGTATATATTAATAATAGGAATAGTCTAATACTAAGGTTTAGCCTCTTCCTGTATTATACCTTATATTTAATAATAAAGTTAAACTAATAGTTTTCTTACTTATTTATTTACTTTCTATATACCCTAGGTTATATTATATATATGTATATATTGTTAAACTATATAGAATTACTATAGAAGGTAATAGTAGAACTAGTTTTTTTTTTTTTTTTATATATAATATCTTTAATATTATTTATTATATAAGTCTTTTAGTTAGTATAGTACTTATATTCTTTGTTTTATAAGTCTTTTAAAATAGTTCCTACCTTTATATACATACTATACTAGTAGTCTTAGGAAAGTAATAACTTAAACTTTTAAACCTAGTAGTAAAGATAAAAGGAGCCTAAGAAGGAAGAGGTTTAATTAGGATTATAGAAATATCTAATAAAGATCTCGATTCTAAGAAAGGGCTAGTATATATAAAAGAGCTATAATAGCTACTCTAATTTAGCTAGCTAGAAAATATAGGAAGGTTTAGATAAGGGGCTATTATTATAGTAGGAATGAAAAGTAGGTAAATCTATTTAAATTAAGATTATAAAATTAATAATAATAGAGTATTTAGTAATAATAAGAGGCGGATTCTATAAGCTTATATTTACGTTTATTAAATTAAGTATAGTTTAGCTAGCTTAATAACTTTTTAGTTTAGTTAGTATATTATTCTTTTCCTTATTATAAGTCTTAAATATTTTAAGATTTTAAAATTAGTTTATAGTCTTAGGTCTTTACAATATCTTAGTATCTAAAGTATTATAAAAGAGTATTAAATACCTTAAGATTATAACTTTAAAAAAAAGAGAGTTATATTTTAATAAGTAATACTAAGTATATAGTCTTAGATCTTTATTAAATCTTGGCGTTTATATTAAAGTAAATATACTTTCTTAGACTATATTATCTAGGAAGATTTATACTCTACTTAGTTCTTAGACTCTATATGTCACGAATCACGTGCTCACGTGATACTTGTTATAATAAGAGGCGCAACCCTCGGCAGGCACACCCAGGTTTCTTATAGCAGAAAGTGATCCTTAGACCAGCTAAGCGATCCAGGGATTTTCATTGATTGGAAAGGTCACGTGACCTGGATCTTTTGGATCGTAATGATCCACGATCCAGGAGCGTAGATCTGCATGATCCAGTACGATCCACGAACATGGAAGGATCTATATAAGACTGGCACGTCTGCCATTAGATAGGAGCTTCGTGCTCAACTTAGTTATCAATCTTATCATATTATATCTTTTGGATCGTAATGATCCACGATCCAGGAGCGTAGATCTGCATGATCCAGTACGATCCACGAACATGGAAGGATCTATATAAGACTGGCACGTCTGCCATTAGATAGGAGCTTCGTGCTCAACTTAGTTATCAATCTTATCATATTAGTTTGACATCTTTGATACAAGTAACGAGTTCACTTCCAAGTGAACAACCCGATAGTCTTCTTCTTATCATAGCATACCAACCAGCGAACACCCAGCCAAGTTTAGTTAGCCAGTTTGAGTATTCGTTACATTAGTATTATAAGGATTTATATATATTTATTAATAAAGAGGGATTTCTAGGATATATAAAAATTATTAAAGTATTAAAGATTTAGTATATTATCAAGAGCATAAAGGCTATAGAAAATAATAAGCCTATAGTTTATTTTATTACTAGTAGATAAGATATTATTAGAAATAAGTTATTCTTACTAATTAATACTCTTTTAGATAAGTATATATAGACTTAAATATAAGTAGGACCACCCTTAACCTAATATAGCTAATAATAAGTGAAGACTTTTAAAACTATTTAGTATATAATAGAAATTAATTTCTACTAAGGTTCTACTAAGGTTCTACTAATAATAAGTAGCTTTAAGCTCTACTTATACTTAATTTTTTAAAAGAAAAGAAAGAAGTAAGTAAAGAAGTAAGTAAAAAGAACTTAGATAGTTACTAGCTAATAAAAGAGTATTAGATAAAGAGGTAAGGTAAACTTAGATATTTCTAGCTAATAAAAAAGTATGAAATAAAAAATTAAGTAAAGTAGAACTTAGATAGTTACTAACTAATATAACTTTAGACTATAAGAGTTTTTATAGTTCTATATCTCTTAACTTTAATACTTAGGATTTAGTAAAAGAGTTACTATCTATCTACTATTTACTACTTAGATAGAATATAAGCTTCTACTAAAGGTAGCGTTTCTCTTAGTACTTTAGTATTTTATTTTATTAATTATATAAAAGAACAGTATCTAACTCTTATAAAGGAATAAAGTTACTCTTAAGGTATATAATTTAAGTTTATAGTAGTATAACTTAAGGTTACTATACTTAATATAGATCTTAGCCTATATAATACTTTTTAATTATAGGATAGTAATTAAGACTACTTTCTTATAGTTAATATATTTATAGTATATATTAGTTAGCTAATATAATTCCTTCTATTTAGTAAGAGGGGCGATAGTTAACTTAACCCTTAGAATAAGGTATACTTTTCTATAGCTAAAGGGATTATTAATATTTTAATAGAGAATGAATAAATAGTATTTACTATTATTTCTATACTTATTATTATAATAAGTAATATATATTTACTTAGTAGCTACTAGGTAGAGTTTTATAATTCGATTATATAGTAAAGTATATAGTATTTTTAGAGTAAGAGTCTATTCCTATCAATAGTACTATTTTATTATATAGGTATATAGTTTAGTAGAAGGAGGATATAGTACTTAGTATGGGATTTGTTTTTAATCTATATTTAGGTATATAAGTAGTTATAATATATAATTATAAAGTTTTTATATATTTTAATTATTATTTAAAGTAAATTATAGAGATTTTTTTTTTGTAATTCCTTTAAATAGAAGTACCTAAATCAAGTGTTTTTTAGCTATTTTACATATATATTAGGTATTCCCGTACTATATAGGGCATTAAGTTAGATTACCTAAATCAAGTGTTTTAGGAGTACCTAAATTAGGTGTTTTAGGAGCACCTGATTCAGGTTTTTTGCTCCCGCTGGGAGTTGAGCAAGGCTCAACTAATTAAACTAGTCATATTGTGAGGATGGCATGGATAACTACCTCCTCATGATGATAATCATATTTACATAGTCGCAGTACTTTTTAACGGTATCTCACTTGGAGAAGAGCTGTGAACCTTTTCCGCGAGGAAGCGATTATTTATGCCTGTACACTTTATCAATTCCTCACATCCAAGGACGGCCTTCTCTTTCTCTCTTTGTCCTCTTGGAAGAGAATAATCTAGCACCAGTACAAAGAGCATTGAAGTTGATAGTTCTCTTTACTTTTCCTTACACTCAGAACAAACCATTATCAACGTGCTGAAAAGTTGCCCAGAGTTCCCTTCATATCCCACAATCCTCATCAAACCCTTTCTCCTCAACTCAAAATCGCAATACCAATCACTCCACAATGGAATCTATAAGCATGCAAAGCCGTGCTAGACGTGCCCCTAATTGGTCAACATTCGAGAGAGCCCTTCTGCTCTCTGTGATCCCGCTCCAGTACCCCAGCGCAGGGCACAACGGGAGGGTTGGTTGGGCCCGGATATCCCAGTGGCTGAATCACGAATTCGCTCGTCGAAGGTTACGACCAAACCGTATTTTCACGATTGAGAAGATAACGTCTCACTTCAAAACACACGAAGTGAACTTGACCCGTGAATGGGGATGGGATGGAGTCAAGGCACGCCATTACGTTCGTGAATCCGATAAACATTTGTTGGCTTCCCGCAGATCGTCGGCTGCTAAAAAGCGGATTGCTGAGAAGATTGCTGAGAAGTTGGCTGCTCAGCGTGCTGACAACTCAAGTGATGGTAACGGAGATCCAAATGAAGATCCAAACGAAGTCCCAAATGAACTTCCAGATCCTGAAGCTCAGGTTATACATGATACAGTGTCGCCTCAGAATCAGAACTGGAGATGGGTTGTAGGTATAGATACCTAAATAGAGGTGAGTAAACTCCTTCCCTCATGATATCTCCACCATGTCTCATTCCCTTGAATTTCACCCCCCAACTTCCTCTTCCTATCTATTGGCCTACTCACTCCACATCCAAGAATCGACGAAGAAATAATCCGTTTTCCCTTGATAATATAAACACACTTTCTTCAAACTCTACCATTTCTTCCCAACCAGAACCTGTTAATTTTCTTGACTACTGACCAATAACAAACCTACCAATAACAATATATCCCCTCTTAAACTCCAAACAAAATCCCTATAAACTTACCTCTACCTCCACTACTCCACTGATTCACTTAACTCCAATCCGGTACACCTTCTACTTAGTACTTATCAAACCACAAGCTTCCAAAATGAAGCCTTCCCCTGACCCTTCACATTTCGAATACCCGTACTACCCTAGTGCCCCTCTCCCCCCAAATTCTCAAACAAGATGGACTCTCAAGTAGCAGGAAAACAATCCATTCAAAGCAAGTCCACAAAACTAATCAGCCATACGAAAGTATATTTTGATCTTCCATATACAGACAGTACCAGCGCACGAAATTCAAGTAAGTAGTAGCACCGACTCAACTCAACCCCAGGGCCTCCTAGCGCGCGTATGGTACTTCAGCTAGTAGCTACTCGGTCACTCCACTTGGATTTAGCGGGAAACTATTTAATAGGGAGCTGATGAACAGGGACAGGCCCTCAAGAAATTTTATCAGGGTAACAGCTTTTTCAAACGCTGGGCAATATGTAATGACAGAAAAATATAACACCCAAGGACTTTTCGTTTGCTTCGAAACTTTGAAAAAGTCAATCTCTCCAATGAGTCCAATCAAAACCAAACGATCTCCCAAAAAATCTTCTTTCACCGTCCATGTCCTGAAGTTAAGAGCAGAAGAGAACTAGTAGCGGACCACAAATAAGGAACAAAACTAAGCGAGAAAATGCCCTATGAATTCCTACGACAGTACCACAACATAACTTATTAAACCATGAATCTAAAAGAAAGCTCCCAATTACCAAGAGAAAAAACATCCCTCCAAAAGTCTCCACAAAATCCCAATCTACACACCTCTACTCATCCCCCCTCAAAACATACCCACCATACCCATCACCCCCAAAAGCCTTCTCGCCCTCCGCCGTCCACCCCTCCTTCTTCCCCAACCACTCACCCCCAAGCCAAAGCCTCAAACAAGTATCCCCAGGTTTCTTCTGCGGGCTCTCCAGCGGAACCAACTTATAGAAGCCCTCGTCCAGCCCGGTGCTCTCACAATCACATCTTCCCGTCCGGCCTAGCAGCTCATCCCCATTTATCTTATTTGGCAACCCCTCATCACCCTGGTTTCTGTCTCCTAGTCCAGAGGAGCGAAGATCCTCTTTTCGAGGCGGCGGACAATGCCGATTAATCCCATGCTGGTACCCTACATCCCTGAACCACCAAACTTCCTTCTTAGGAACAAACATCCCCACACTCAACGTATGAACCGGTGCATCCCCGAAGCGCTCATAATAGAAGCCTCCTGTTCGGTCAAGATAGTTGAAGTATTCTTCATTCGGAGTATCCCTCCAAAAATTCAATGAGCCGATTTCAAAATTTGAGAAGAACTGACAATTATTATAGTCGCCTCCATTCTCGGGATCTAGGAGCCAGGAGATATTCGCGGAGGGGTGCAGAAGATGAGGATTAGCGGTTGCAAAGGAGAGGGTACGTTTCCATAACGATGGAAAGGATCGGGCATCATCGAGGATGGCCATGTTGAAGCCGTATTTCATGTTATTGTCTCGCATGAAGCGGAACATGTCGTAGTCAATGTCGCAGAAGTAGTGGACCTTTATCCAATCAGCCCTTTCTTCCCCATGAGCAAAAGTAGGAAGGGAGTCTTACATCAGGCTCCACCCTCCAATACCAGTCGTAATCCTTCAAAATGGGATGTTTATAAAAGAACCCACTATTCCAACGGCACATATGGTGATAACTCACCAACCACCCTTTGCCAACTCCAATACTTCCTAGATACTCGAGACTGTTCATGAATCGGTTCTCATCAATCCAATCTGGCAAGGACCAATGTTCCTTAGGCACAACTTCGTAGAAGCATTTCGCAGAAGTAAGATTCTTCGTGGTGTTTTTGAACTCGTCTGTAAAAGGTTCATCGTTGAAGAATATCCATGGATACTGACAATTATCAGTGGACTGCTCTTCCTTCTGACGACTATCTCCATCACTGCTTTCACCAAAAGAGGGGAGAGTATGGAAAGACCAACCTGATACTTCCGATTCCACCTATACTCCAATTGCTCCATACTCTGCACAATTCCCTCCAGCTCCGAATTCCTTACCAAGGTAATAAGCGCTGCCCTCGGTCTATTCCTTTGGCTCTTATCACCCAAAACCATACCCTTCCAACTCCCTCCCGCACCTGCATTACCAATCGCATGTTTATCCCCCGAATTCTCTCTCAGCCATCTCATTGGATCCGGGTCTCCCTCCTCTATGGTGGCAAGAACAGGACGCAAAGTTGTGGGACCATGCATACCATTCCTCCCATCTTCCACAACCCCCTTCACACTCAGACTCTCACCCCCTCTCCCTGTCAGCGAAAACATAAAAACAACAAGAACCCCCATAAAAACCAGTACTCCCGTTCGTCGACTCGGCAATCTGTCATTACACATTCATATTAGCCCATCCCACAGCCCATATCCTTCCCGCTCCTAACCAAGCCCAGTTAAACTCAGCTAAACTCACAATCCTCTCAAACCCCCGTTCAACCCCCGACTCCCAGCCCATTTCACCCCCCTCATCCGTGGCACCACCCGCCATAAAAGAGACCCAAGTCTAGCTTTCGGCGGCGTCCAAAACCCAGCCTCATAACTAAACTCCTCCTCCTTGCTCTCATCACTCCCCATAGAAATGGGGGACCATCTGCTACTCGTAAAAGAAGTCTGGCGGATCGGTGTTCTCGGTGGTGAGCCGTCGTTGATGGAGCGGAAGATACGGGAAGACATCTCTTCTTCTGTTTGGCGAGATAGGATAGGTTGATAGGGATCCGACGTGCGCAATAGGGATGGTTGTTGAGTTGCAGCTTGGGAGGCAGGCTTAAGATCGTGGGTAGGGAGAAAAGGGGCGGGGTTTATCGGTAGAGGAAGAAGATTTGAAATTGGGAAAGAGCTACCCCCACACAAATGGACACATACCCTCGACGGCACTTACTCAGACTTAAAAGACTCTATTGCTTACAACTATGATATAGCCCCGCTACCTAGAACCCCCAACGTGTTATCTTAGTGATGTCCTGGATCATCCTCACACAAGGGAAAAATAGCAGCAGCTCCGATTTTTGTCAGCAAGCAAAGAAACCCATACGCCCCGGATATTCCTACAATATGTAGCCTCAGAAAAGGACAAATTTTACTCCCTTAGACGTGCAAAATTAGAGACTCCTCAAAGATGCCAAAGCCTTAAAACGCCTTCCATCGCAAATATGTACCTCAAACGCATCTCTCAAGACATTTTCTCATCATCCATCCCCAAGACTCTCGAATATTGTACCGTGAGCCTTTGCAATTCTCGAAATTTACCTGCGTACAATGTGAGTAGGGTGGTGGTTAAATTTTGTGATACGAGCAAATTTACCGAGAATCAATACGACCTCCTTCAACAACTCCTTTCGGCCCCACCCACAAAGCTTGTCATCCTCACTGTGCCATCCCTCGCCCCCCTCCTTGATTGACGAATCATCCGTCTTATCCTGCAATATGCCACCAAGAATGCTTTTGAGCAACTCCTCAACCTTGGTCTTCAATCCCTGAGCACCCAGGCGCTTGGCGTACATGAAGAGGTAGATTCTAAACTCTTCTCTGGCACCAAGTTGCATAGCCGCTGCGACACGGTTCTCAAGATGAGCAATGCTGACACCTGATTCAAAGTTCTCATATCCTTCTTTTGACAACAAAGATTTGACGAGACGTTGTAGGTGATACGCGCGACCTTTGAGGAGAACCTCATTAGTGGTATGTCTTTCGAGATGAGGAATGATACCAGCTGAGATGTTTGAGGAAGAAATTTCGCCGTCACGTCGAGAGTCTGGACCAACACCAGTTGATTGCAGACTGCCGATGGAAGAATCGTTCGAATTCCAGTACTGACTGCCCACCGCCCACCAAGCCTCCGATAATCGTTGCCAAACAAACATTGCTGGCGAGTAAAGGAAACCATCACCATTACTGAGTGTAACGATAATATGACCAGTAGAATTGAGATGAGCAGACGTGACTCCTGGGGCACTAGTTGTATGTGTACCGAGAGAATGCATCGCAATATCCAATATAGGTGCTAGAGAGACAGGAGGATGAGGTGATGCGAGCGTCTTGAGGTTCCAGACATAACATAGCCCGGTTGCTGTGATACAGAGTAGCCACCACCCCCTTGATTCGAGAATGACGGGTTGCGATTCGAGTATTAGTGCGTTGAAGATCCTTCGGCCAGCAGGGGTCCAGGTGTATATACTTCCATCCTCGCAAGCAGCAGCCCAAAAGTTCTTGTTACCAGCGACTAGAACAACCGCTCTTGGCAAGAAATCTTGCCAGAGAACAGCACCTCGCTTAGACGCACTGATTTTCGTTGGATCTTTAACCTGCGCGGGGTTTCCACCAGGATTCTGAGCTTCGAAAACTATATCGTCTGCTGCTTTGGTGGACTCTTCTATCCCATTGGAAGCATTGTTTCCAGTGGAAACTGGCAAAGCACCACGTTCAAGTGATCTTAGAATATGTACCCTAACTTTGGGCACGGCTAGTCGCACCTGACTAACAGCCATGATAGGGTTGATAACTGCAGGTCGGATGAATTCAGGCGTCGGAACGACGCCGTTTTGCGGTGCCATAGGTGCAGCAGGCTCTAATCCATTGACACCGTTAGTCATAATGGGGATTGGAAAGTTGGCAGTCCCAACGTTGGGACGTTTGCTTCCTTGTTCCTCCGAGTCATCGTCCTCGAGAGCGATTGCTTTTCGTTTATTGCCCAGTAGCATCGCAGCCAAACCACCCCTTGGAAGACCTTCGTATGGCTTTGACAAATCTAGAATTAATTTCGGCGCATCGCTTTGAGCGTTACTGGAAGAGCTCGCAGCCACAAGTTGAGATTGAGGTAAAGAGGAGAGCCCCGTACCGGAAGAGGAAACCAATAATGGAGCAACTCTCTTCTTCCCTTCTTTTGTGATTGTTACGCGCTGTTTCATAGATTCAATCTTCTCTGCATTGGGGTCTGCAGCTGGTGGTGCAGGAGTAGGAGCTGGAGCTGGAGGCTCTACAGCGGCTCGGCCATTTGTAATGACTGGAGCGGAAGATGGAAGGCCATTTGACGGAACAACTGGGGGTACAACTAGACCACTCATTGTTGCTGTCCCATTACTACTAGCAGTACCGTTCAAAAACGGAGTTGGTAAAGGGGCTGTATCTCCCATGAGGGCACCCATTCTTCCCTCAGCCCCCCGCAATTCACCTGCTTTACTTCTCTCTTCAAGGCGTAGAGCAGCCACGTCCTCGACAACTCCAACGCCCCTTCTATTGACACCAAACTTTTGCAGCGCTTTTTCATTCTCTGTCCAGGGGGCAATAAAACCAAGTTCACCTCTTTCAAATTCACAAGCAACAATACTGCCATCCAAACTTGACGCAAATATAGTGAGCCCATCAGGAGTCCAAGCAAGATCCGAAATCGACTTTGCTGCTAAATCGTGACATACAACTAATGGCCTCGAAGAACTCGTGTTCCAGATACTAAGTGTCTTGTCTTGTCCAGCACATGCGATAACTGTGACAAGAGCCTGAGTACTGTATCCACTATTATCGGTGGTCTCTGCACTAATCTCATGACTGCTGAACAAACGAGGGGAAAAGGTGCAGACCTCGGTTGGCCCTTCGTGTCCGATGAGATTGATATCACTATCCCATGCTGCTCCTCGATTTATGATCGCAACCGAGCTTACACGTCCATTGACCGCATTTGCTGCTGCAATGTGAATTCCATCCGGCGACCAAGAACATCTTCGGAAATAAGTTGTCAATGGAGAGGAATCAAAGGGCGCTTCGATAGTGTGATCGAGAACGAAATTGTTGATTGAATCGTAGGCTGTAGCATTTGGTAAGGGTGAAGTGAACCGAAAGAGCTTGATAGTTCGGTCATCGCTAGCCGTCGCAAAATATTTATTGGCGGGGTCAAAGGTAATCCCTTTAACGTGACTTTGATGCACAGATAGGGTCTTTAATTTCTCGAAAGTATGGCCCGACCAAACTACAATCTTCGAATCCAAGCCAACGGATACCAGAATGGAAGAATCATACGACCAGCCCAGATCTTGTACATCATTTTCGTGTCCAATTAAACGCCTTGTGATTTTCCAATTCTCCACCGGGGGCGGTTCGTTCGTTCCTATTATTATTTGTCAGTGTAGGGTCAGTGAAGGGAGGTTCCTGGAAGGTTTGCGCACCAAAGGATGACGAATGGGCTGGAGGATTAACATCTAGGTGGTATATACAGATGATTTTGTCGTCGGCGCCGGATGCAAGCCATCGCCCGTTCGGAGAGAATCTAACAGTATGTATGGTCCCGGAGTGGTAGCTCATATGGCATAATTGTTTTGGCTTCGTGCAGGTCGGATCTCCTGCTTGGAGGATGGCTTCCGTCGACCAAATCCGAACATGCCCATCTGGGTATTTCATCAGCATCAGTACTGTCCCAACAATCCACTTCTCTCATCGATTGAAGTTCTCCTACCTCCTGCAGCCGTCGCAAGTCGGGTCCCGTCGGGGGAAACATTGCAACTGTAGACCTCAAAGTCTTTTTGTTCTCCTGTAGTCGGGGCGCAAAGAAGCGCGAATATCAGCAACTGCTATCCGGTGTTTCGGGTTTTTGGAGGAGGTTGCCGTGACAGTATTAATTGTCCAAAATGATGCAACATACCGCTATGCGTCAACCAGGCGGGTTTGATGAACTTCATGTTTTATTACTATGTTGGTCGTGGGGCATGATTAGGTGGAGATGGAGGTGGTCGATAGCTGAAGTTACGAAGGGACGGAGACGCGACTGAATTCCAAGGTACATGAGCGGTTGTGCTTGGCAAGGCAGAAGCAGAAGAGAGATGGATTTTGGCGCTTGTTCCAGAAGCCGTACGAGTACTCTAGGCGTAAGCGTAGGCTGTTCGGTACAGATTGGCATTGGCTGGAAAAGACCCGACTCGGCTAGCGGGTCGACACGTCGAGACACCCGACAATCCCGTATTATCGGCATCAGCATCAACATTACTGTTCTGGTGATCAGCAATGTTAAAAAGAAGAAGAAAATATACAATACTCCATCTCAGTGGAGAATTGTTACCTTTAATGCTGTCTGCTAATAACCTTTATAACTTTTGTTTGATTTCATAAGAACAATGTAGCCATTTGGTGTTGCCTTCCTCCAGAATCACTTGAAGCGACTACGTAAAATCACATTTTTATCATTTCCACAAAGAATTGGCCTAGGGAGACTTTTTGATTCACCGAGTACTCGTAGGCACTTTATACATACGGACACTTGTATGTTTCCAATAGCAACCTCCTTCCACTCGCACCACCGTATTTAGTATTCAAGCCAAGTCCACTCGCACCTCCCCTGAAACCAGCACATCATCAACAAGTCTACCTGCCTCGCTCGCTAAAAACGCTCGAGGACTCGTACTCGACTTGTAAAGCACCCAAGACTTTTTGATACTCAAAGAACGGACTGAACTCTGGTGAACACGTAAACATCCTACAGTAGTCTCAACCTTAAATGCACTGACTAGACTAGTTTCCAGAGACATCAGTTACCTCGAGGACCATCAGATAACGTCCTTCATTGATGATTTCTTCTGGCTATACTGCTCTTCTTCCAATAATGCCAGTTGTCGAGAAATATCGAGATCGAGGTCCCGTTGATGTGAGTGGCTCGTTCAGCACAGAGGAATTAGTAGGGAAATCTGTAGTGATTACTGGAGGTGAGTAAGAACCAGACCACAGTATTCATGATTCATTCAGACAGCTAACAACATAAAAAGGAGCAAATGGACTCGGGAAAGCTTATGTCCAAGCCTTCGTCGATGCAGGGTAAGAGATATCAAGAACCTTTGGCTACTATAAACTAATCAAGAACACAGAGCGTTCGTAACAATCGGCGACATTGACGAGACACTTGGGAAGGAAGCAGCAAGCGCCCTGCCAGGGTAAGGAGCTCTATTTCTGTTAGTCACCCGTCCCTAATTGTTCTCCAGGAAAGTCCAATTCGTAAAATGCGATGTCCGGAAGTGGGAGGAGCAAGTGTCTCTTTTCGAGGCAGCGAGTAAATTCTCTCTTCACGGTGGTTGCGATATCGTGATCGCCAATGCTGGGATAGTGGGAGAAGATGACCTTTTTCGGCTGGATGGTAAAATCTCTTGTTCCTTAAATGAAGATCACGACTTAACGGCTAACGATTTCATAGACCCAAATAAACCACCAATAAAACCAGATCTGAGTATTCTAGATGTCGACCTGATAGGCATGCTTTACACGACCAAACTTGCATTTCACTACTTCCGTCGGCAGCCCGTAGAAAGGTATCGAGACAGGTGCTTGATTTTGATATCAAGTATTGCAGCTTATGTCGGTAAGTGTGTTTGTGGAAATTCTATGAAAATACCCTAAAGACCGCATCACATAACTCTTGAAGATGGAATTGAGAACTTTATATAGATCAACCCGGGACACCTCAGTACAATGTTGCAAAGTGGGGGACTAGAGCTCTTATGAGGAATCTCCGCCGCACAGCATGGAAAGAAAGTATACGAATAAATCTCGTTGCCCCTTGGTAAAGTCTTCCCTGCTCCTCTCCCTCGCCCTCACTATCATACATTACATGTACGAGGCCTGGAAATGACTGTGCAAAGCCCTCTAAACCGATTTGAAACCTGAATTCTGAATCCTCATGACTTCTCCAAACATTCGCCCTTCCGAGAAGTTTCAAAGAAAAAGGAATTCAAGGGCTAAAATTATAACGAGAACCCAAGACTAACAAAATGATGACAGGTACGTCCGAACTCCCAGCATGCCAGCATCAATTCAAGAACACCTCGATAGCGAAGGCATCGGTCTAGCAACCGTCAAGGTATCCTGCAAGGCGGTATTAAAGATCGCCAGTGATTGTAGTATAAATGGTCCGTTTTCTCCCTCCTGATCTCATTCGCAAAAGACTCCTTTCCTTTCACAAAAATTCCTCTGATTATTCTCTAACCCTCCCGTATTCTCGATCAAAGAATGAAAAAAAAAACCCCAACGCACTTTTTATTGACAAGGAGAAATAGGAAGAGCACTCGGAGTCGTACCCCGGAAATATGTCGCAGATGGATATTTCGATCTTGACCTTGACGATTACTATGAAGTAGATATGTTCAAGGAGATGCAGGAGGTGGTTATCGAGACCATGGAGAAGCTGGGACATGGGTATTTGACCTCTGTCAAGCAAGACAAAAGACAAAACTAACCGTTACTACAGGAAGTTAGCTGAAAAACACGAAGGCCAAAACGGGAAGAAGGACAGCATTTTAGACAGGAAGCCGAAAGGAGTCTAAATGGATTAGTCTCAAGTTGTTCTAAGTGATAAATAGAATAAGCATAGTTGTCTAGATCCTTCTATCAAGTCAAATTCACTCTCCCAGCTCGCCTCACTTCCCTTAGCGAACCAACTATCGACTCCCATCCCTCCTTCACCTACCCACAACAAATTAACAAGCCAAATGAGCGATTTCCACTTATCCAAAAAAACAAGCACACTCGGTGGTCGACTGGTCAAAGCGCTTACCTTTAATCAAAACATCCCATTCCTTCGCAAACCCCAAAAAACAGTAACATGCGAGCCCAACGACAACGAAAAACGACAACGACTTAACGACCGAACGACCGATGGATCCCGACCGACACCCCCTTACCCAGGGCCCATCCATTGGCCCCGGGTATGGGACAGACTGACCGACTGACTGAACGATAGACTTGACGATGACGAGGCTACTTGCAGCCGCTCCCGACTAAAGAGACTGAAAGACTACGCGATTGTATGCAATATTCGCAGAGACCAAGGGCGTAAGTGAATTCTCCTTTCCCCTCCCGTGCCTAAAGACCAAGAACCACCACTATTTTTTTCCTTGTATATTTTCTTCGTGTAGGCTTCTATGCTCTCTCGTGTTTAGTAGAAGTGTGGCGAGGAGTTTCTGTTACAAGCGACGTGAAAAGGGAATTAGGTAGTCAAAAGAAACTTGGTATTAAGAAAGTTTTTCCTTCCTTGCGCCCATTCATTACACATAGACTATAACTTAACACTGTTATACAAGTTTTTTCTTACTACCTAGGTAAAACAGCCCTACTTCCTCTGTCTCGTATTCTCGAAAGAAGCGAGCATGGTCCTCTTCATTTCATCAGCTGGTGTCTCCAATCCATAAATTTCGGGCGTGCTTTCCGATGAGGAGTTTTCTAATACTCTCGCAGCCATAGTTTTTGATTGCGCATTCCCAACCTGTCCGTATACCGCCATAGCGCTGGCAATCATACTGCCGATATCACCAACATTTCCAGGTACAACAACAGCTGTACCCTCCTTGGCTAACTTGCCAAAAGCATCAACATACTTCTCAGCGACACTCAAACTGACAGCTCCCTGAGCAGCTTCCTTTCCTTCCGAAATACTTCGTCCAACGGCTTCAATCCCAGCTGCAGTCGCCTTGGCTTTCAACAGGATAGCTTCAGCCTCTCCAGAAGCCATATTGATCTGCTCACTCTTCAACGCCTCAGATGCGAGAATGACACTCTGCTTTCTTCCCTCTGCGATATTAATAGCACTCTGTCTTTGACCTTCTGATTCCAGAATTTCAGCCCGTTTACTGCGCTCGGCGGTAACCTGTCGATGCATGGCTGCTACAACTCCTTCTGGGGCGTGGATATCTCTAATTTCGTATCGCAGACAGACCACACCCCAGGCTTGAGCGGCCTCGTTGATTGTGAGGGTGATGTTAGTGTTAAGGGCTGCTCGCTCTTTCAGGACGTGATCGAGTGTTAGTTGACCAATTTCTGAACGCATAGCTGTTTGGGCGAGTTGACCGATGGCGTATTCGGCGTCTTCGACTCCGTAACTTGTGTTGTTAGTTCATATTTTGTCAAAAGGAAATAAAACTGCAAGCTTACCTAGCCTTATAAGCATCCACCACTCTAGTGTACAAAACACCATCCAGTTGAAGTGTAACATTATCCGCTGTAATCGCACTCTGACTAGGAATTTCAATCGCCGATTCCTTCAAACTCTTCACATAAGCTATGCGATCAATAAACGGCACCAGAATCGCCAGTCCCGGGGCGAGAATCCGATTGAACTTTCCCATTCGCTCGACAATCCATGCTGTCTGCTGTGGCACGAAACGAATAATGGTATTTGCTGGTAAAGAAGGACGGGTGAAGTATGACGTGGGGATTTTCGAGTTGTTGATTCCTAGCAGGCTGGTATTGGGTGCTGGAGCTCGAGGGGTAAGATGTAAGTGTCTTTGCTGAGCTCTTTGGAGAGGAATAGATGAAGCGCGGAGGAGAGGTGTGGATCTTCTGGCCAGAGTCGCAGAAATGGAATTTCTGCTGAGGGCTTGCCCGTTCATGGCTATGCGTGCCACTTCCATGACGATGTTGGGTGTTTGCGGGTGAAGCTGTTGATGGAGCTTGAAGTGATGCACTCTCATAATCGCCTGGGCGTGGCGGCGGATGATTTTTGACAGGGGCCCTTGCTCTCGCATCTACGCTGGTATTTCTTGGCACATGTCAATGCTGATGGCCTATTTCTGCGAGTACTTGTCAAATTTCTAACTATTATTTTGTGCCGTCTCCAACAACTACCACTCAACTTGGAAGATTGTTTACATCAATAGTTTCTCGGCAACTCTAGAGCTTTCTGAACACATTCCACGTCCTAGAACTGTCTCAAGACAGTGTCTCTACCAGTCAAATATTCCCCAAAATGTCGGAATACTGGAAGTCAACAGTAAATAACTCCCCCTCCTTATACTCATTGAACCTCTTCTGACGTCCACTAGCCAAAATACTGGTGCAAGCACTGCAAAAGCTTCATCCGCGACACCAAACTCGAAAAGGCCAACCACGAAGCAACACCAAAGCATCAAGGAAATCTAAAGCGCTTCCTTCGAGACCTCCACCGCGGCCACGAAAAGGACGAAAAAGACAAGGACCGCGCGAAATCCGAAGTCGCGCGATTAAATGGCTTAGTATCCAATCCTTCATCCTCATCCTCGTCCTCGAAAGACGGATCGAGTTCGGCCTTTGGAAGAGGTCCAACGCCTTCAGTACCACAGCCAAGAGTTCAGGCTACGGCGGCGCAGAGGAAACAACAGCTCGCACAGTTGGCAGAGATGGGCGTTAGTATACCGGATGAGTTTAGAGGGGATATGGCAATGGCGGGCGAATGGACGGTGACTTCTCAGCGGGTGTTGGATGAGAATGGTGAGGCGAAGAAGGAGAGTGTTGCGCTGGGTGTGAGGAAGAGAGAAGAGGACGATGAGGGGGGGGATACAGATGATGTGGAGATTAAGAGGAAGAGGTGGGGGTCGAAATTTAGGAGTCATCCTGTTGAAGAGGATGAGGGGGATCTTGATGCGTTGCTTGGTCAGGCTTTGGTGCAGCCGAAGTCGAAAGCTGAACCTGAATCTGCGGATTTACCGGTGAAGATTGATATGAAGACGGAAAAAACTAAGGTTAAGGTTGAGTCTCCTCCATCGGCTTGGAACGAAGTTCAGGAGGAGAGTGTACCGAAGCCCGAAGAGGAAGTCAAGAAAGAGTTTCCTGATTCTTTGGCGGATATACCAGCCGTTGGATCAGAAGAAATCCCAAAGAAAGAGAGTGAAGAAGTGCCAACAGGCGTGGTATTCAAAAAGCGCAAAGCAAAGAACATCCGTCAAAAATAAGAGAAGAAAAGAACTAGTAATAGAAAACATACTAATAATGGGAAAAAAAAGTTTCAAAATCAATCTCATTCATTCTTGAAATACTCACTTCAGGTGTGGAGGGGGCTGGGTGAATGTACGGTCCTATGTATATTTATGAATATTTCGGAAGGAATGTATAGTTGGTTGCTTTTCTGCCCATGTAGACAATGACCGATATGGAAAACATCAGGGTTTTCATAACGTACGCCGTTATTAAGGAGCTATAGCGTTAAGAACGAAGGAATCGCCTGAACCCTGTTACCTCAAATAGCTCGATGAAGCGGTAAAACCAAAGACATTTAGTGCACCATTAGTAGTCAGAATTTTGAATTTAACTATTGAGCGTATTCTTCTACTCTAATGCTGAGCAGCAACCCCCGCAGCATCAGCCTGCTCCGTAATCCTCTTCTTATAAGCCGCCACGTCCCCAGGAAACTTCTCCACCGTCCCGTTATCACAAACCCAAAGACTCTTACAGACAGTCTGCAACATCGTGACATCGTGACTGACCATCAAGACACCTCCCTGGAAAGCTTGTAAAGCCTGACTCAATGCGTCCATGGCCTCGATATCCAAGTGATTGGAAGGTTCGTCGAGAACGAGAATATGTGGGTTCTGGAGTGAGAGACATGCAAACGCGACACGGGATTTCTGACCTCCGGATAGGAGTTCCATTTTCTGGAGACCTGTCATACCGGTGATACCAAAGGCTCCGAGATGGCGACGGTATTCTTCGTCTTGTTTTCCAGGGTAGGTTTTAGCCATGAACCCTACGGCACTGGTGGCCAAGTCAAGAGCATCGACGTGGTGTTGGGCGAAGAAACCAACTCTTAGACGTGGATTTTGAGAAATGAGTCCAGATGTAGGTGTTAATGCTCCGATAAGAAGTTTCAAAACAGTGGTCTTACCAGCACCGTTGGGTCCGACGATACCGATTCGAGAATCCAATTGTATGTCGAGATCGACATTTCGGAGAAGTGGCTTCTCCTTGGTGTAGCCGAAGGAAACATCTGTCATCTGCACAATTGGGGGAGACATCTTCTCAACATCTGGAAATTTGAAGTGGACCGTGTACTCGCTCTCTGGTGCCTCCAAAACAGGCATCTTTTCCAATTTCTTGATACGAGACTGAGCTTCGGAGGACTTGGCAGCATTGTAACGGAATTTATCAATGAAATTCTGAAGATGTTGACGCTGCACCATCTGGTTCTCGTATTCTCTCTTTGCTGTCTTCCGACGCTCTTCTTTAGTGGCATAGAACGACTCGAAGTTGGCACCCTTGTAGTAATCGAGGCGCTCGGAATGTTGGTGGACAATATCCGTGGCGACTTCATTGAGGAACGCTCTGTCGTGGGATACAACGAGAACAGTACTTGGATAGCCTTGTAGATAATTGGCAAGGAAAGTGATAGAGGGGACGTCCAACATATTAGAAGGTTCGTCAAGAAGTAAGAGATCCGGTTCGCAGAAGAGTGCTCGTGCCAAGGCCAGACGCATACGCCAACCTCCAGAGAATGTTTTTGTAGCAAATTGTTGACGTTCTGGAGAGAAACCAAGACCAGCCAAAATTGTTGCTGCTCTTGATTCTGCTTTATCGGATTCCATTTCTGCTAGTTTAGCTTGAACATCACCAAGTGTCTGATCCAGGCCTTCACGCTCATGATCGAGGTCCGCAGCATCTGCTGAAGTATCAGCCATTGAAGACCTTTTCTCTTCGATGGCATTGAGCTGCTGGCCAAGTTTCTATACATTTTGTCAGTACTATAGCACTAAAATAGACTTGCTTGCTTCTAGTCTAGGTAATACATACAACTTGCTCGCTCAACAAATGTTTACGCCACACGTCGGCATCCAAGACTGCTTGAAGTGCACGTGTGTCATCTCCAGTAATCTGAATTGCATGTTAGTGGCTTTTGTGCATATTTCAAAGCTGGTCATCTTACCTCTTGCTCTACGTGGAGAATTGAAATGTGGGTTGGAATTGCCAGCTCTCGACGTGCTAGTGCTCGTAAAAGTGTCGATTTACCAATACCGTTCTGACCAACAAGACCATATCTTCGACCATAGGACAGTGTTAATGTAGTGTCTGACAAAATTCTCAGACCACCAATAGAAACATCGATTCCATCCAATTTGATGTCTTTGCTCTTGGTTTGAGATTGCCCCAACTGTAAAGGGTTGACAGCCATAAAGAAATCTTCATAGGACCGAGTATCGTCAACTTGACCGATGAGTTTGGAGGCTTCATATTCAACGGCCTTGAAAACCTTTTTGCTTTGTTTAGCAGCAATCTTTCGCTCAGCCTTCTCCAGCTTCTTTCGATCCACTTTGGATTCGAGTTTTCTGGTGTTTGCTGACTCCAGATCTACACCTGTCGTAGATATTCCCAGAGTAGAGGACATATTACGTTGAGCCCCCACTTGGATCGTCTTGTCTAACCGTTTGGCGGCCGATGAGACTTGTCTCTGCTGTCCACTTGCAGCGGAAGCATTGAACTTTTCCACCCATTTGTTGACCAGCTGGCTAAGTTTTTCCTCATTTGATGGAGATGGGTCGCCGGAGGCCGACAAAAGAAGGGCTGTGATGGAGGTTGCGGCCTCTTCTAAGGGTGTGATACCAGTGGCATCCGAATCGGGCACGTATGCGTTGGAGGCATGGCTCAGATATCCGACTGAATATTCCGAAATGACAGAGTCGATCCCGGGAATATAGGACTTGATTTCGGCCTCCATGGTGAAATTTGCCTAGCTATTATACCTTGGTATGTAGTGTGTCTAGCTTCTCAACTTCCAGAAGCCAACAAGATGAGTCGTCGAGGTGGTTGCGGGGATCACTTTGATATGGACTCTCGACTTGGATGTCACCTCAGGTTTGCCTTCTGGTGCCTTCACAAATCCAGTACTAGTACGGAGTAGAGTACTGTACCCGTATCGCCCACCAAAGTTATGCAAAGGGGTTTATTGGCTAGCAAGTCACAAAAATCGTTTATGCAAGGTCCATGCTCCAGCCGCTAAGCCCGATTTGGCTCCTAGCGCAAAATTTCCGGTCGTGCCTTCCACACCGCTGCACCTCTCACAAAAACACTCCACTCCACAGCTCAACAACAACCTTCCTTCTGCCGATTCCTCCTACCTTTGCTACCTACACCACACCACCAGCAAATACAATCCAACACTCTTCTTCTTCAATCCCGAGCAATACATTATCCTTCAAAATGCGTGAAATCGTAAGTTCTCCCGCCTCTTCTCCAGCTTCTATTGACAACGGAACGCGTCTTGTTCTGCTGCACCCCTGAATATTTACCCCACTACTTTAAAAAAGAACAGCGAGCTAACCAACGTCTTTTGCCATCCACAGGTGCATCTTCAAACCGGTCAATGTGTGAGTACCATCATTAAATCCTCTGCCAGTCGAAATATATTAACGTTTTCTAGGGTAACCAAATTGGTGCTGCCTTCTGGTGCGTAGATCCCTCACTCTCGACCTGGGACGAGCTCGGCCAGCGCGACTCCTTAGGAGACACGTCCGCGACGTATCTGCAATATCCATACTGATGAGGAAACAGGCAAACCATCTCAGGAGAGCACGGTCTCGATGGATCCGGAGTGTACGTTTTCTCCGCATCGAGTTTATTTACTCGACCCCTTCGTCGCGTCTGCCTAGGCTAACATCAATTCCAGTTACCACGGAACCTCAGACCTCCAATTGGAGCGTATGAACGTCTACTTCAACGAGGTCAGCCTCCGCCGCGCATCCAACTCAAACAAACAATACTAACTCTCTCTAGGCTTCTGGTAACAAGTATGTTCCTCGTGCCGTCCTCGTCGATCTGGAGCCAGGTACCATGGATGCTGTCCGCGCTGGTCCCTTCGGTCAACTCTTCCGACCCGACAACTTCGTCTTCGGTCAATCCGGTGCTGGTAACAACTGGGCTAAGGGACATTACACCGAGGGAGCCGAGCTCGTCGACCAAGTTCTCGATGTCGTTCGTCGCGAGGCTGAGGGATGTGACTGTCTCCAGGGTTTCCAAATCACCCACTCCCTTGGTGGTGGAACCGGTGCCGGTATGGGTACGCTTTTGATCTCCAAGATCCGTGAGGAGTTCCCAGACCGTATGATGGCAACCTTCTCCGTTGTCCCTTCACCAAAGGTTTCCGACACCGTTGTCGAGCCTTACAACGCCACCCTCTCCATCCATCAGTTGGTCGAAAACTCCGACGAAACCTTCTGTATCGACAACGAGGCTCTCTACGATATCTGCATGAGGACTCTTAAGCTCACCAACCCTTCATACGGAGATCTCAACCACTTGGTTTCTGCCGTCATGTCTGGTGTCACCACTTGTCTTCGTTTCCCTGGTCAACTTAACTCTGATCTCCGAAAGTTGGCTGTCAACATGGTTCCTTTCCCACGTCTCCATTTCTTCATGGTTGGATTCGCTCCTCTCACCAGCCGTGGTGCTCACTCTTTCCGTGCCGTTACCGTTCCAGAGTTGACCCAACAAATGTACGACCCAAAGAACATGATGGCTGCCTCCGATTTCCGTAATGGTCGTTACTTGACTTGCTCTGCTATCTTGTAAGTTATCTCCCACGGATTTTCCGAAACGACGTAGACTAATATTTTACAGCCGTGGTAAGGTTTCCATGAAAGAAGTCGAGGATCAAATGCGAAACGTCCAAAACAAGAACTCTTCTTACTTCGTCGAGTGGATCCCCAACAACGTCCAAACCGCTCTCTGCTCCATCCCACCACGAGGCCTCAAGATGTCTTCCACATTCGTTGGAAACTCCACATCCATTCAAGAGCTCTTCAAGCGTATCGGTGATCAATTCACTGCCATGTTCAGAAGAAAGGCTTTCTTGCATTGGTATACTGGAGAGGGTATGGACGAGATGGAGTTCACTGAGGCTGAGTCCAACATGAACGATTTGGTTTCCGAGTACCAACAATACCAGGATGCCTCTATTTCTGAGGGTGAGGAGGAGTACGAGGAAGAGGCCCAGATGGAGGAAGAGGCATAAATGTCTATTACTTTTTCAAGTGACTGACAGACGACACGGCGGCAGAATCGTGTCACCATCCCGATGTTGGCACTTTTTGTTGACTAGGTTAATAATGCCTTAGGGCGCTCCTTTCTTGTTTGTTGATTTTTTTGAAGCGTTGGAGCTTTAGTGGGAAAGAATACCTTGTTACCTCAACTGATCCATACCCTTTGATCCAGTAAAATTCATTAAAAACATGGATTTCTAAATTAAGCCGCAGCATGACATTGTGAAAGTGGATACGGCCCCATTTGAAACTCTACCCCGCCAATTGGTAGGGCGTAACCAAGGTAAGGTCGATGTGGGTACCGTGGCGTGGTTGGAGATGTAGAGGAAATTTTCTTCTTTTACTGCATCATGATAGAAATTCTTGGAGTTGCATTTTTCAACCTTGTGGGTTGGTGATAGGGACGCCCCTGGTTTCGGGGATAGCGATATCGGCCCATCAGGCTTTTGACGGCTAGTCTTCTTAGCTGCGAGTACTGGCCAATGGGTGGTGTCACTATTGTGATGTGCAGGTTTGGTGTAGTGAGCTGATGGGTAAGGGGTAACCTAGTTTAGTCTTCGTAGTTTGGTCTTGGTATGCGTACCTACAGTAGTTTGTGCTAGTTGTGTTATCTTTTGGAAGATCAGGTTGAGAATAGCAGATGTATGTCTGTACTCATATCTAATTTGGGTTTGCAAAAAGATAGCGATCTAGATGGTTTTTGGAGGAGTTCTATAATTACTAAGAAGCTGTGTGGTTTAAGAGAACAGTTGTAGTAGTGGAATGAGTTTTGAAGCTCTACTAAGTATAGTACTCTTACCTTTCTCATAAAGTATTAGAAGCTCGAAAGGCGACAGCCGTTAGAGAATGAGGCAATAATAAAAGTTTGTTATGATGAAATTAATCCTGTTACAGTACGTAATTTTGTCCAAGACGGTGTGCCTCAACATTTTGTACCTAATAGTATCCTCAAGGTGTGCTTTCAAGGTAACTTCAGATGAACTGAGGATTGTACGTAGTGAATAAGGGTGCTGGTGCATCAGACTAAAGCAGGGGTAGCTTGTGCTAAGATAAGAAACCTAAGGATAGCGGGGAAGAAATATTTTATGGGACACACTCCTCTTTGCAACCTCTTTACTTACTTCAATTGACCACCACCACCGTTTTTCTCAACTTTGCCATTCATCTTACGGGCTTCCTAAAATTCCTATACAGAACTTTTCCACTTCCTCCCACTAAATTCCAGACATCATGGCTAAGGATAAGGTACGAAAACTCTCTATTTTACCCCGCGGTGAGTCAGTGCGGTGAGGGCCATACTGATATTCCAACTCCAGGTCTGTCTTGCGTACAGTGGTGGTCTTGACACCAGTTGTATCCTCAAATGGTTGATTGAGGAGGGTTACGATGTCGTCTGCTTCATGGCAGATGTTGGACAGGAAGGTTAGAAAACTCTATACCTGATATTCGCGTACAATTCTGACCACTACCATAGAGGACTTTGAGGCTGCAAAGGCAAAGGCATTGAAGATTGGAGCCGTTGCATGCTACATCGAGGATATCCGTCGAGAGTTCATTGAGGAGCTTTGCTTCCCAGCTATCCAATGTAATGCCATCTACGAAAACGTCTACCTTCTAGGTCAGTTGCATGTCCATGAATAACTCTATCCCTAGCTTGAACTGACATTTTAACAGGAACATCCCTCGCCCGTCCCGTCATCGCTCGCGCACAAATCAAGGTCGCCCAAAAGGAGGGCTGCTTCGCTGTCTCTCACGGCTGCACTGGAAAGGGGAATGACCAAGTTCGATTCGAGCTCGGATTCTACGCACTCCAACCCAACATCAAGGTCATCGCCCCATGGCGTATGCCTGTCTTCTACGAGCGCTTTGCCGGTCGTGCTGACCTCCTCGACTATGCCGAGAAGTCCGGTATTCCAGTCAGCAGCACAAAGAGCAAGCCATGGAGTATGGATGAGAACTTGGCACACTGTAGTTACGAGGCTGGTATTCTCGAGGATCCAGATGTCACTGCTCCAGCCGATATGTGGAAGTTGACCGTCGATCCTTTGAACGCCCCAGAAAAGCCAGAGGACTTCACACTTGTGTTCGAGAAGGGTCTTCCAAAGAAATTGATCACTGCCGATGGAAAGACCGTCACCGATTCCGTTGAGCTCTTCCTCGAGGCCAACGCTATCGCTCGTCGTCACGGTGTTGGACGTGTCGATATCGTCGAGAACCGATTCATTGGATTGAAATCTCGTGGATGTTATGAAACCCCAGGTCTCACCTGTCTTCGCTCTGCACACATCGACCTCGAGGGTCTCGTCTTGGACCGTGAAGTTCGCGCACTCCGTGACCAATTCGTCACCTTCAACTACGCCAAGGTCCTCTATAACGGTCTCTACTTCTCTCCTGAGCGAGAGTTCTTGGAGGAATCCATCATTGCCTCCCAAAAGAACGTCAATGGACAAGTACGATGCCGTGTTTACAAGGGAAGCTTCTCCGTTCTCGGACGCAGCTCGGAGACTGAGAAGTTGTATGATGCTAGCGAGAGTTCGATGGATGAGATTGGTGCTTTTGCTCCAGCTGACACCACGGGCTTTATCAGTGTCCAGGCTATCCGTTTGAAGAAGTATGGTGAGGCTAAGGAGGCTAAGGGGGAGCGTTTGTAAATACCCATCCTTCTTCTTCCGTCATCTCTCTATCTTCTTTTTCTAGATTCTTCGATTTGAGACTAGTAGGGTTTGAGCAATTAAAATTGTAATGAAAAGAATTTTCGCATTATGTTTTCCGTTATGCGTGCATGAGGGTTTTGAAGTTGATAAAAAAAGTGTCCCGACCAACTAGTCATGATGTATTCATAATTCATCTAGCATCGAATTTGTGTGGAAAACTACATAACATAGAAGTTTTTGACTAGCGGATGTAAAGTAGATGACACCCATGCCTTCTACATTCCTAGCCGACTTCAGAGGTAAAGAAGGGAATTGGAACTGAAATCGTAACTGGTTGATGACTAATGGGAGTTAGTACGTGTCCTATTCTGCCAGCCATTCTTTGGGGGAAGGGGGTTTAATTCCTATTTTGTCTTTTCTCTGCCCTCTATTCTCTTTTCTCTATTGTCGTTTTTTTGTTTTTGTGTTTCCTACACCTTGAATTTATCTTTATCATCATCGCCCTGGTCGTTGTGTTCTTTGTAGCGTGGAGTGTGTCTTCTTGATGGTTTGATGAGGTGATGAGTTGATGGGTATAGAGAGAGGTGGGGAAGAGGTGATAGGTTGTGAATAGAATAGTATACACGTACAGTGAGTTAAGCGAAGGGGTGCAATATAAGAGCTTGTACAGAAAGACATAACCAAATTCCTGAATAGAACAGAATAAAATGAAATGGGTGAGTGGGTAACGGGGGACAGGAGGAGGGGGCGGGTTTCTAATAAGACTCCAAGTTAAAATCTGAGATACTGTCTTTTATCCACTTACCTTACCTGATCCTGTCCCTGTTCTTTTTACTCTGGAGGTGATCAAAGGGGACGGAGATTTTATCTGGTTCTTACGGTGAATTTTGGGATAATGGGTTTGTGTTACCCTGGGGAATAATATTACTGTATAGGATGTGTCGGTGAGTAAGCGAGAGTAGGATCCTTGGATTCTTGAGATAGTATACCTTTCCAATTTTTCCTCTACTTTCTCTGTTTTCTTTAGTAGAGAGATTTAGATATAGGTATAGACAAACCCGGAACAGTAGGTCGTTCGTCATGCAATACATGAAACCCCGTGTTATTTATTATCTTCCAATTTTTCTATATAAATCTTAAGAGTGTTACGTTGTTAGAGCGGCCTGAGCGATCGCTATGAAGTTATACAATGTTTTATAATATCGTAGTCTCGTAGTCTCGTAGTCGAGGGTCCTCTCCTCGATCGGGATTAGGGAGGAATCTCACAGTGCTGGGCCCCGGGTAAGGGGGAGGGGGGATCAGAGTGGTTAGTTTTACTATTTCCCTTTTTATATCGTATTCCTTACAGTGCCAGTTTTGATGGGTCACGCTTGGCAATGTCAAGGGATTTCGGAGCTGTTTGTCAGGGCAATCTAGATTTAATGATTGATATACATATAGATATAGATTTAGAACTAGCGTAAAAACAACGAAACCTGTTGTATATTTTTCTATTGTGAAGGTCCTGTGGTATATATATCAAGGTAAGGTGTAGGCTGGGCATCAAAAATGCAAGATAGACTTTACATGAAAAGAAAATGCATATCCCTGACTTCCATCTGGTTGAGCCTTTCTGATCATTTGATGAGTAATAGTCTGGAGAAAACTCGAAAGTTGAGAGTGTGTTGAGAAGGGCCTGTGAACAGGATTTGGTAAAGGGGTACAAAGTGTAGAATGAAAAGATATTGGAAGTCGTCGACCCTACTATCGTGTTCAAGTGTCCCATGAGTAATGTAGTAGCGGATTGATTTCTTTTATTACGATTTTAGTACCTAGTAGTGTTTAGAAAGTGAAGTATATGGTATCCTCTGCATACTATATCTAACTTATTTAAAAGAAAGGATCAAGGATCGAGGAGTTTCACATGTCATAAGCAAGGATGTGAGGAAGTGCGGAAACACTCTACTATACTTTAAAGATAGGAACGGGAGTATTCACATAGATATGAGTGCCCTGGGATGATCTCCTTTGTGATGATTCACGATTTACTAGGCGAGCGAAGCTGCAGACGCAAGGCTGCGAAAATGATAGGGGACTCTGAGATCTTCTCGGCAAGTTTTTGAGGAGAGTCCTGAAGGGTACAGACAGTTGTTTATAAGGCCTGGTAAATGGTTCAGGTGGTCAATAGATAGCTTTCATGTTACCTGGCATGTAAATTTAAGATGGAGAGGTTCTGCGAAGGCGTTTGATCTGCGAAGAAAAATAGGAAATGGAAACGAGGCGTGTTGAAAGGAAAGTCATAGACCCGTAGAATCATAGTAAAAAGATTTTCTTCTGATATGAACTTTCGATTGCGTCGATTTTGGTGGTCCCTCCAAATTTGTATTTCACCTAAAAACTCCCTCCTACAATCTCAAAATTTTTGTCGTCGGGCGCCTCTGGACCATCTTGCTCGTAAATATCGTAACGGAATCGGGAAAGTCGAATACTACAATACACGATCAATCCTTTTGATCACGTCACTCCATTGACAAATGTGGAAAGCCTTTGCTTAAAAGTCGTGATTTTTTGGGCGGCTCCGTTGCCAGCCTATGCTATTCTCAATGATACACCGCAACTCTTGAAAAAAATCAAGCCAATTTGCGAAGAAAGCCATGCCACAAATCAAATCCCAAATTTCCATCAATACCTAAGCCTCGGCCTGTTTCAAGATGTCAGCTTCCACTCCGTGCAGCCCTGTATTTTGCCCTCCGTCGAAGTGTTATATTCGACGTACCTTGATGGCATACTTTCGCTGAGGAAAGTGAACCGTTCGCTTCTTTGTCTTCTCCAACTTCTTCTCACTCTCGTTCTTGGACAGGCGTCTTCGGATAGCACGTGTTTGCTTTGGTCGGAGATCGAGAGGAGCGTACTTCTTTCCCTTGTAGAACAGACGGAGTTGGGCGCGTTGGTTGGCGTTGATGACTGTGAGAACCTTTGCGATGGATTTTCGGATATCGTGACTGCAGAAAACAACCATCCATTAGCAACCTGCAAGCTTGGTGGAATTGTCTTCTCCCAGTATCAAAATTCGAATCGCTCGCGGGGAACAGTTTATATCCCCCACTGCCCAGAAAAAAATACGCACATCTTTGTGAGCTTCGACGCCGATCCTCCAGCAATCTTCTGTGTTCGCAATTGACCCAGCTCCTTCTTCAAGTCCCCGAGTTGGTTTGCGAGGTCGGTCTTGCTCTTGGACCAGAGTTGGCCGGTCTTAACTTTTCCGGACGACTGTCGCATCGCAGTAATTAGCCTTCTGATCCCATCCCATCCGTCGAGCTGGCAGCATGCCAACAGGAACGCCTCTTACCATTGTGAGTGTTTGTCGTTAGGTCGGGTGGTCGATTAGTGGGCGTGGTCGTCGTGAAATGTCGTCGAAAGTTCTTGACGCCTCAAAATTATCAAATTGTTTGTGGCCTCGCTTAGCCGGGGTCTGTCGCGGATAGCTCTAGCTGACATAATCAAGGCCGAGGATTATCTTTGCTCCGGGCTCCGGGCCCACGCGGCTATTGAACCCCTGCCAACTGTTCGTGGCTACGTTGAAGAAGGCAAGCCAAATCAAGGCGCATTCAAGAATACACACACCGACGACGAGTAATAACTTCAACAACAACACGATGGCTTCCTCAACTGGGCAAGGATGGGCACAACTCAGACAGCAAGCAAGGTCTTTAGAAACTCAGGTGCGGCCTATTCCGGAAGGTTACTACGTACTAGGAAACCTGCTAATACTTACGCTAGACGGAATCGCTATTCCACACCTATTCACAATTCAGTAATGTCCCAAACATACCAGCAAAGCCCACCGAGGACGAAAGGCAGACGGAATCCAAATTACAAGACATACTTGAAAGAGTATGCAACAATGCGATCCAAGCTCTATGCACATACTAACCCACAACTCCAGCGGGAAACCCTCATATCTCAACTTACCCGCCTTCTCGATTCCGAAGCAACTCTCACAGCATCTGCAACGAAACAAAACAATTTGTCCCGCCATCGAGAAATCCTCCAAGAACATCGGCGCGAATTAACACGATTAAGATCTCAAATCCAAGATGCCCGGAACCGGGCCAACCTACTCTCAAACGTCAGAAACGACATCGATACCTACCACTCGAGTAATCCAGAAGCAGCAGAGGCGGATTACATGATAGGCGAACGATCAAGAATAGAAAACAGCCACAACATGGCGGATAGTGTGCTCAGTCAAGCTTATGCAGTAAACGAGCAATTCGGCATACAACGAGAAACAATGGCGAGTATTAATAGACGAATCACAGGCGCTGCGGCTCAAGTGCCAGGTCTCAACAGCTTAATAGGAAGGATATCTGCGAAGAAGAGGAGAGATGGTATTATCATGGGAGGGTTCATTGCCTTTTGTTTCCTCATGTTTTTGTATTTTTCGTGAGAGGAGCAACGCATCTATTTTTGCATTGAAGCGGGCGTTAGTGTTTGGCTAGTAAAGCCAGAGTTATGTTTGTACAGTATGGGTATATCTGGATATCAGACCGCTGGGATGGCGGCCTTTTTATTTGGCTTTGGAGCATCAATTATCGGCTTTGGAATTGAAACCGGACCTTTGCGAGCCTCTTGAACCAGTTGAGCAACAGCTTTCACGAGACCTTCTTTCTCATCTCCCTCGGATAAACCACTTCCTGCCCATCTGATTTTACATTCTCCATCCAGAACGTATGTGTAGCCAACCTTGGTATTCAGCAAGCCAATTAGTTCCTGGAGTTCCTGCGTAAACCCCCTTCTCACCAGGAAGTATCGACCCCAGTTGGCTTTTGGCATTGTCTTTCTCAGACTTGGCATGAACAGCCTGACTAACCAAGCTTTCATCCAATTATCCTCCATATTTATCTGCACTGTTTGAGCTATACCTTCGTTACTTTTCAAGAGTTCATGCAACTGCGGATTGTTCTTCTCCGACGTGAAAGTAGCCGTCTGATTCTCCGCCCATCTGGTATTGAAAATCGTCACTACCGAGATCTTCTTCGCAAGAATGGGTGTTGTATCCTTGACCAATTTGTCTGGCAGAAGTGTTTGGCCCTGCAGGTTCGGGAAGTATAGTGAAAATTGGCTTTTGAAAATTCGAGGCGGCGCGACAAAAGTCTTTCCTTTCGAAAACCGCATATTGCTCCATTCTCGGAAATACGGCGAGGCTACCTTGTGTGTTCTATTCCTGGTCAATTGGATGAACACAATGACGCAGCTGGTGAGCCACTCACAGCTCTTTTCGCCTTGCTAGATGCTTGTTGTAGTCTACGAAATCATCTCTTCTCTGCTTGATACTCCGCGTATCAATTCCCGAATTCTGCCCAGGTTGTGGTGGGTATGGTATGCCAATTGGTCGCAAAAGTGGCTTGGGGACAAATTCATCGAGAGATTTCCCGTAAGCTCGTGGCGCATCTTCAAGCGGAGAGGGTATCGATGGAGAAGCTTTCTCTGCTGGAGTTGGCGCAGGAGCAGGAGCAGGAGCTACAGATTTGGGTTTGGGCGCTCGTTTGGCAGCAAACTGTCGATAGGAAGTGCCAAATGCTCTCCATTGACAGCCCATACAAGTTGCCGCGTCGATGCCATACTTGGCGGTGCGAAATGACGTCCGGAATACAATCATGGTGTTGTTGGTTGCATGTAAATCGTGGTAGTGACAAATTGGCCAAACGCTAATATTCTGCAGCCTTGTCAGATGCAAAATGCGGACGGGCAAAATTTTGGTGAAGTGATTCCACCCCTGATTTGGTCTGTGCCATGCTGGAAAGATTTCCCCAGGCCATGCGGCTATTCACGGCCTGATGGCGTTGCGTTTCTCCCGCAAACCCGCACTGCGTCCCTGTCCCGCATTCTTGGAACAATTCCCAAGTACTTCAACATGTAAAATCTTGCTTGGGCTTGACTTTATCCAGGAAGGCTTTTCTGTGTCAACACAATGCGTCTTCACTCGGTTACCCGGTCTGTTCTCCAACAAGTCAATTTCTCGAGAGGCGTTAGGTTGGCGGGAGGATTTCCGGGACATCGTGCCTTCCATTCGTCAAGAAAGTGTCAAGTTGTTAAGCCGTTTCTGCTGGCAGATATCGGAGAAGGTGGGGTTTTTTGGTTGGATTGTTCCTGATTACTGGACATGGTCTAACTCAGTCTGTAGGAATCAGAGATTGCGAAATCATACAATGGTTTGTCGAACCGGAAGCGCGAGTGGAAGAATGGGACAAGTTGTGTGAGGTCCAGAGCGATAAGGCCTCCGTGGAAATTACAAGCAGATTCGGTGGTGTGATCAAGAAGTTACATTACGAGGCTGGGGATATGGCAAAAGTTGGAAAACCGCTGCTGGATATTGACATTCAAAGTGAGGTCAATGAGAAAGACCTGGCAGAGTTGACGGGGTCTCCTGTCAAAGAAGACGCAACGGATAGTAATCCGGTCCATACAAACGAGGAACCCAAATCCTCTTCATCAATACCCGCTTCAAACCAGAGTAATACTGCGAGTAGTCGGGACTCTTCATCACGAACATCCACGCCAAGCGAGAATGCTACTGCAACCAACTATAAACCTAAAGGCAAACATGCATCATTAGCCACGCCAGCAGTCAGACACCTTACAAAAGAGTTAAAGATTGGCCTCGCAGATATTCAAGGCACAGGGAGAGAAGGAAGGGTCATGAAAGAAGATGTGCATGCATTTGCCAGGCAACGGGCGGCTAGCGGATCCCCAGCCCAACAAACCCCTTCTTCGCTTGCAGTCAACAACACGAATGCAGCTGCTGCCAGCGCAAAACAGATCGAGATGGCAGTCCCCTTGACAAACACGCAGTCTCAAATGTTCAAGTCCATGACCAAAGCCCTGTCCAAACCTCACTTCCTTTACGCCGATGAGCTAGACTTCAACAAGCTCTCGGAACTACGCTCGAGGCTAAATAAAAGCCTCACCAAGTCACCTGTAGAGGAAGTCAGCAAATTGTCCTTCTTGCCGTTCATTGTCAAGGCCATGTCTTTGGCGCTGGACCGTTACCCCATGCTGAATGCAAGAGTCGACGCGGAAGCCGGATCAGGGAAGCCGGTCATGATACACCGCAGTCAACACAACATCGGCGTGGCTATGGACACTCCATCAGGACTATTGGTTCCAGTCATCAAGAACGTTGCCAGTCTCAACATTATTGGCATCGCCGCGGAACTCAGCCGGCTGCAAAGCCTAGCTGCATCTGGCAAGCTCTCAACCCAGGATTTGACGGGTGGGACCATCACGCTATCGAATATAGGAAATATTGGAGGGACGTATGTTTCTCCAGTCATTGTCGAAAAGGAGGTTGCGATCCTCGGAGTCGGGAAGATGAGAACCATCCCAGCATTTGGCGAGGACGGCCAAGTTATACCCAAGCAGGTGTGCAACTTCAGTTGGAGTGCGGACCACCGGGTTATCGATGGAGCGACGATGGCACGAGCTGCTGAGGTGGTCAAGGGATATGTCGAAGACCCAGACAGTATGATCATGCGTCTGAGATAATGCGGCCTGCTTGGGTTGCAAAAGAAACAACCTCTGGGAATGCAGCGGAAGCACTTCCGGTCCAACGATTTGCGTTGGATGTGTGGGAGTACAAAAGCCCAAAGGGCCTGGTCTGAAATCATGGCATCGCATTGGCGATGCTGGACGGCCACCAATAACACTCTTGCCTGGCATCAGCCTCACGATGCTGTGCTACCAAGGCAGTTGTGCACTGGTTGACCCGCAGTAAGCAGACATTGGGAACAACGGGCCTGTTCTTCCGCAATGGGACTGGGGATGCTGTTGGCGTTACAGCATATATATGTAGACATAGATCGCTTAGAGCAAAAGAGACGCGAGACACTTTAACCAAGCGGAAGATTTCCTTGGGCGATACCTAATTATAATTGTGCATACCGTCAAGATCTCGTGATAAAGTCCCCCATCTATTCCATGCCTTCTCATCTATGTATGGCATGGTGCCAAAACTCGCTACCGAAAGCCAATCCCAAACGCCCTCATTGATGTAGAAATCCCCCTTGACGCATGAAACGCAAGCGAGAACAAAAGGGGGAATTCCCCAGCAGTTTAAAAAAAGCCTAGCCGAGCCGAGCCACATGAAAAACTCGCATGCAAGTAAGACGCCCTTCCAGAAATCCCTCATTGCCCAATTTGCTCACTCTGGCAAGAGCAAAAGAAGAAAATTAATGGGGAAAAAATCGCTGATCCGAAACGCCGTCCAATCCCAAAGAAACTCATTCCATCGTAGTCAAACAAAGCTAAACAGGTGACATTTTTCAATCATGTCACGAGCTCGTCGTTGAATTGGAAGCTTTCAACTCAGTCTGCTTCTTCATAGCCTCCAGCGCCTCCTTCTTGACCTCCTCCATCTCCCCAATAACATCCACCTCGATCACATCCCACTCATCATCTTGCCGTCTCTCCAACGTCTTGAACTGGCTCTCCAGCAACCGCGGGTCAAAGAAGTGATTCGTCGTCTTGGCTCGGACGGCAATGCGGTTTTGCAAAACCTCAAAGGGGGCGTGAAGAAGGACGATGTGGACGTCGACGTCGGGGTGGAGGTAGGCGGCGATTCTCATGACGTCGCGATAGCGTCGTCGGAGCGCTGAACAGGTTATTACTACGCCCGTGTGGTTTTTGTTTATGGCGTCGATGGATTGGGTGCGTAGGTTTTCGAGCCAGTCCCAGCGGTCGCCGTCGGTTAGGGCGATGCCTCGGTTCATTTTCTCTTTGTTTTCTTTGGTGTGGAACTGTGTGGATTTAGTATGTTGATTTTGGTGTATTTGTTTGGGAAAGTGAAGTTTGTTCTTACATCGTCGCCTTCGATATATGTGAGATTCAATTTGTCGGCAACGTATTGGGCGATGGTGGTTTTTCCACATGCGGCGGTTCCTCCGACCATGTATATGTGATGCCTCTTTGTGGGTTTATTACCATTGGTTGTTGCGCCATGAGTGACTGGGGTGGGTTCTGAGGTAGTAGTTGTGAGATGGCCAGAATTGGTTGGGATTGGTTGCTGTGGCATTTGGGCCTGGCTGCTCTGAACGGCGATCATCTTGCAGGTTGTAATGGTGGTGAGACGGAGAAGTGGTAGATTTTGTTGAGGCAGTGAGCTTTTGAAGGTGACACGGCAATAGTACACACGGGGTGTGGTGAACACGTTGGTCAGGTTTACTTATATAAGGAATCTCAGCGAGGGAAACTACGTCATAGAGTACGGCGGGAACACAAGAGGTCAGCGACTGAGAGGGCGATGGTCAAGCTCAGGACAAGAGAAGAGACTTGGGAAAATGCAAAGTCATCCACCGTTATTGAGCGGGAGTCAAGGTATTTATCGGGAGTTAAGGATTCATCACCTGCAACCCCCTGGAAGCCTTTCCGCCTTGGCACCGTTGCACAAAAGGAGGGACGACTGCAGGGGCCCTCAGGACCCACAGCTAACCTTTACCCCCCCTTGGGCCTGGGGCCGGATCAAAGCATGATGACCAGGTTCTGGGACCAGCGGCGAACTGACCGAGTGGCAGAGGCCGTGGTAGTGGCAGTCAATTACAGTCTGGTGCAGTAGTGGCAGACTGGCAGTGACAGTCGGGATGCAGAAAGTAGCCGCCGGCATATTTCGCTGAGCCAAAGGAAGGGGGTTCACCGTGTTGATTGATTTTGTTCGCAAAGTGCGGGTGGCGCCTCGGATATCTATTTTGCCTATATCTATACCATAGGAATGTCCAGCGAAGGAATAGACGAGAAGAAACTGGTCTCGCATGTAAGATATTTACAATGCTAGATCTTTCCGCTGACTTGTAGATGAGAGACTCGCACACCGAATAGCTTGCAGGAGAGACGGCCTGGGAGACAGGTTCATCCCTAACCTACAGACTTGACTCTCTTGGCCGTTGGGTGGGAGCAGTCTTTTTCTTTGTTTGAGCCTTGTAGAACCCTTTCTCGCAAGGGTCGCAACTCGGGCTCTGCCGTCAGAGCGAAGGCTTACGGGCCGTGGGTGCCCAACTCAAAGAAAAATCAAAATCTTTCTCTCTCGTAAAGCCATTCCACGCGCGGGGTGTCAATCACCTGGCCAGCGAAGCTATTTCCAACTGGTGCGTGGACATCGTTGGTCCAAAGATCAAAGCCGAGTGAGCTGATGGATTACTCCCCCAATATTGGAATGCGTCCAAAGTAGGCATAGGATCCGTAGCCATGTGCGAAGTCTAGAATGTAAAATATCACCATATATAGTAGATCTAAACGACTCTACCAGGTGCGTATGCATGCACTCAGATTGTCTTGCTGAACTGCTGTACTCCCTACTCGTACGTATTGGTCAAAATGTATGCCCGTAACGAGCGTATCGTGAAGACAAGACGCGAGCATGCAGCAGCGAAGTGGGGAGGGAGTACGGAGTATTCAGCGCTGTCAATGTTTCCCCAACTTCCAGTTTCCCAAAATCGTGGTCGACATGCCGGATCTCCTGGATTGCAGCTGTTCTATCGGGATTCTTGGCCTCCTCCGAATGCCATCATCCTAGCTTTGCGCCGCGCTGGTGTCTTGCCTCTGCGCGACAGTGGGCACAACGTGGGGGTTAGAAGATGGGCGGGAACATGGTCTGATCCTGGCTAGATTTCTCCACAATCAAATGCACTTGCTGGATGAGTACCGGCTCGCCTCCTATTTGTTGTGGAAAGTCGGCGTTTGAAGGCAATTCATTTTTTGACTCGGCCTTACACCGCTCTTATTGAAGCCTTTCGGGGGAGCCCAAGACAGATCCATTTTCATCCGTACTAAAGCGCGTGGATGGTAGCTTGAGATTTGGGAAGTACGAAGTAGAAGTACAAGCCAAAAACTCAAAGTGCGCAATAACTCCTGGCTTTTTTAATCTGTCGGCACCTTGACTTGATTTGAAGTGAGAAGTAAATCGTGGAGAAGCGCACGACTAAAAGGCCTGGGAAAGAGCATCTGCGATTAAGAAGATCGAGGGCAGTTACCAGTAGAGACGTTGTATGCCATCTGCCGGAAGCTTCTGAAGTTTGCAACATGTTACAGTAGTTTTGCAAAAATACAACTGCAATCCTCGAAGACAAATCAGAAAGCTATTCTAAACCCTCATTAAATTCATACCTATTCAGGTTAATCTGACAGCCAGTCGTGTATTTGACCTCTCCGGGAGTAAACTGGTCGTTCGTTCTTCTGAAACATTATAAGGTTGTCCTGAGCACGATACCGAGATGGCCGTCATAAGCCGAGAATTTCTCAAACCGCCAACAAGCTTGAATATAAGCCATACAAAGGTTCGAAGGACGCTGAGAAATGTAACCTTAAAGGGAAGCTTGTCACCTGACCTTGACGGAACCCCCACACTTTGGAAATGTATCCCACTAACGGGGAGGGTCCATGACGTTCAATAGAGGGGTTATCTCAGCTATGTCCTGAATATAAACATAGAACGATATCGATATCAGGGAGGAACGACACCAGAAAATATTGCAATCTCCTATAGAACTTGCCAAACAAATTTCACTATGGCCTCCATGAAGACATCGAATCGCCTGAAGGTGGTGATGGAAGGAGGCAAGGCTGCTTTTGGATGTTGGCAAATGGCTCCAGGTTCCAATGTTTCAAGAACGCTTGCTCGAACTGGTGTGGATTTTGTTGTTGTTGATTGTGAACGTAAGTTCCCTATTATAAACTCTTATGATAGGATACGCCTTCCAGTTCAAGTTTTGACCATACGTGAAAGTTCAACAAGTCATCTTGCTTGATTTTGTCGTGGGAATGAAAGCTGACCCATACAGATGGAAACATGGATGGTACGATATGAAACTCCTCTTCGTTGTACCCTTTTCTCTTGGCTGGTGAGCCTTGCTCATTTAAATGTACGGACAACAAGGTATCGAAAGGTCTGGTAGGCCGATACATGACTTGATGACACTATTGAAGGACGTGTAACCCAGTAAAATGAACCATTGGGCGCGAAGTATATGCCTCTTCAAGACACCTGAACACTAGCCCGGTGCGAGGACTTCGTGAAGTCCTATTCAAAAAACGGCCAGAACAAGATTGCTAACTCGTGGCCAGATGCCGCGATGCATGAAGCAGTAGGCCTCTTTACATCGCCTCAATTCTGACCAAGACTGACTTGAGGAATTGTTCAATAGGTTCCAGCAATCGCAGCATGCGGAGTTTCGCCAATCGTGAGGATACCTGATAAGTCAGAGCCATCAATCCATTCATGCCCTTATGATAGCTTCTAACAATTCACGTCAGCCAAGGATACATGGTTAAGCGTAAGTCCGCGTGTACAAACCATCCAGGAGCATCACTAATAAATTCAAAGGGGCCTTGGACAGTGGTGCTCATGGTATACTGGTTCCGTTATTATACACGGTCGAGGACGCGCAAAAACTTGTTCGAAGCGCGAAGTTTCCTCCTCAGGGAACCCGAGGATTTGGTTCACCTTTTCCTGCAGAACGTTTTGATCCCCTGCTTGGCGCAACGGACTACCTCCAACAGGCAAATGATTCGATTTTGACTATCGTCCAGGTTCGACTCTAGTACAAATGTCTTGAAAAACACTGCTGATTCATGTCCTCATAGATTGAAACCAAGGAGGCTCTAGATGATGTGGACGCGATTGCGGCAGTTCCAGGAATAGACGTCCTCTTCGTCGGACCTTTTGACCTGGGAAACAATATTGGCCATCCAATCCTAGATGGCACGATGCATCAAAACCTGATAACCGCGATAGATAAAGTCCTGAGGGCTGCGACTTCGGCTGGAAAGAAAGCTGGAATCTTCTGTACGAGTGGCGAACAGGGAAGGATTTTTGCAGAAAAGGGATTTCAGATGATGAGTACTGCCACTGATATATATGTTCTGGCTGGGGGTGTAATGGCTTCGTTGGCTACTGCAAAGGGCACGGGACCAGCGCCAAAAATGCAAGGCTATGGAAGTTGATGATCCCAGGACCAGTCTTGGAAGATTGATACACGTAGAAACCTTAGAATACATATCTTTGAGTTGAAGCGATTGCCGAGTGATTTTTTCGAAACCATCATACTGATTGGTAGCGTCCAATTCGTTCAATTGGTCATTGAAGCCGACACAAAATCGAATTTTCGTTGTGTAGCCAATCGCTCTATACCATCCCAGCCTCAATAACTGGAAGCTATAATTCTGGTGGGGATTCATGTTTGCCAATTTGGTCTGCAGCTTCCATTTTTTCGACCACTTGCTCGGCGGTGAATCTGTGCATGAGCTTCAGAGCTTGAGAAGAAAGTGACGGTTCCTCCTCCAGCTTTGAGTTACTGACATGAATCTAAATAAGCAAGTTAATCAGAGGTTTCGCAGAAGGGTGGCCAAAAGGACGAACGACTGGTGTATCAAATTCATACAGATCCTTCCATTTCTTTCCTTCCGGTGCCATGACATCAATCTCGGTGTATTTGAAATGGCGCTTATCCCAAACAGCCGAAAGTGTTTGCTTCGCGTTCACACACAAGGAGCAATTCTGGCGAGTAAAAAGCGTGATTTTGCACGCATGCTGGAGAAGCCTTGTGGTTGGGAACATGGCGATGATATTTTCACGGAGACGTGGAAGAAATGATCGTATGATGGAATGGAAAGGATTGGGATGTGGTTACAACCTCAAACGTACTATACAAGCTAGGTACGAGTAGGCAGCGTAGTAAGCCAGAATTTATGTGTGGAGAGGATCGACAGGAGCAAATACCTAGGTACTCGTAGTTACAGTATGGGTGCAACTCACCGCCTGATTCTGCCGCATTCCACCAGATTCTTGGAGTGAGCCTCACACCTCGCTGCCACCACTCCACTGCCAATCTTGTTGAGTTGGCTCTCGAATTGACCGCCTCTCTCTCACAAGTATTAACTCCAAAGTTGCAATGGCACTGAAGTGTGTGCACCAGTCTTGTGCCAAGCTGTATACAGACCCAGATGAAGATTGCCAGTATCACCCCGGCCCACCGATTTTCCATGAGGGGCAGAAAGGTAAGTGACTTGGAGGGGTTTGTCAAGCACAAGCAGAGCGAGTCGCAACTCCTTGAAAATATTGGAAACTAAAACCGAATCGATCAGGTTGGAAATGCTGCAAGCCTCGAGTTCTCACTTTTGACGAGTTCCTCTCGATTGCGCCATGCACAACTGGCAAACACTCCACAACCGACCTCCCACCACAGATCGAGAAGAAGCAAGGCGGGGATGCCTCTGAAATTGCGACTCTAGTCGAGAAGTCCAGTGCTCCAACGCCTGAAGCTTCCCGCGGTCCCGTCTCTGCCCCTCAGCCTACAGCAACTCCCCCACCTCCTCCACCAGAGTCCGAAGATGACGATGCTAGCCTCGAAATTCCAAAAGGCAAGATGTGTAGAAGGAAGGCTTGTGGCAGCTCATACACCGGAGAGAGCCGAGAAAACGAAAAATGTGTATTCCATCCTGGCGCACCTGTATTCCACGAGGGCAGCAAAGGCTATACATGTTGCAAGCGAAGAGTACTTGAGTTTGACGAGTTTATGCGGATAGAAGGATGCGCGACCAAAGATAGACATCTGTTCATCGGAAGTGGTGACAAGAAAAAGGGTAATGCAGGTGGCGAGGAAGTATTAGAGACTGTCAGGTAGGTCAAGGAACATCTCCAAGTGGGGGTTTTCACTAACAATCATGCAGACATGATTTCTACCAAACCCCAACTGCCGCAATTGCTTCCTTTTTCCTCAAGAAAATCGATAAAGAAAATTCAAAAGTTGAATTTGCTGAGAGGGAACTGATACTTGACCTTATCACTAAAGATGCGATCCCAAAACGATACAAGACAGCTGTGCCTCTTTTTGGTCCAATCAATACAACAACATCAACTTTCAAAATTCTGGGCACAAAGCTGGAGGTGAATTTCTTGAAAGCAGACGGAATCTCATGGCCTGTCCTGAGAAGTGATGAGCCGGTCACAGAGATCATTCAGATGGGAAAGGCTGGAAGAGCTTGATGGATCCATCTATTGCATAGGGAGTAGTCATTACAATAGAAGAATAAAATTTTATCAAATCAAGCACACTGATTCTTGACTTTCTTTTTTATGTGATGATGTGAGCCAAGTGGGCGAAACTATTGGCAACTAAGGTTAGAAACCCAAACCCACTCAAGTATTGCACACCGAAGGCATGTACCAAAATGTGAAGTAATGGATGTTTCCTTCAAGAATATTCTTCTCGTACTTTGGACACATGGATGACTCCGACCAGCGTTGCCCATATGCATCCACGTGGCACATACAAAGTTGAAAGATTGAAACTCGCCTCTTGATAAATGTAAAAAAACCAAGAAATCGTCCTTCTGATGCCCCTGAACTTACAGAAAGGAAGGATGTCTCTGTAACAACTCTGACGTACCCAGAGAAGAGTCCTTGCTCTAGAAGCCATACGAAATAACTCGTCAAATCTGAGAGTGGACAAAGGGTTATATTGCTGGTGATTCTAAACTCAAGCAAATTGAGCGAGGGAGGAACTCACGACTCTACTGTCCCCGCAACGGGTTTTGATGAAACAATAATACTTCCCTGGGTCGAGGAAAGCAAGGTTTCTGTTAAATGGTCTGCAATCAGTAATGAATGTTGTATTCTATAATTCTTAGAAATGTAATCTTCTAAACTGCAATCAAGAAAGGAAATTATCTGGTATCAATAAACTCACGACATACCAAAAACGCCGTCCCAAAACCACACAACAACGAATCAACAAAAAGAAACTGGAGGAAGAAGATCAAACCCCATCCTCGAAATTTTTAATAGTATTAGCCTGCGAAACAGCAACACCACTCTCCTTACTCTCTATCGCCTCAGCACGCTGCTGCAAAATCCAATCATTGATAAACCCATTTCCAACATCCGAGGGAACCCAAACAGTCCAGCTCCCATCTCTGTCGTGCGCAAGTGTTGCTCCCGGCGGAATGGTTTGTGGCGGTTTGGAGGAGTACATGAACTGCATGCCTCTATCAGGAGGCTCAAGATCTTCATGCTCGCTTAAACGAAAAAGTCAGTAAACGCCAGATATAAGAACGGGGGTTTAGGGATGGATAGCTTACTCAACCACCTCCTCCTCGCGCTCGCCATTCCACCACCGCCGAATCCCCTGCCACAACCAATGTCCCAGCCCTGCAATAACTAACACTCCCGTCCCCAGCGCCACATTCCATGGACTTGGTCGGCCGTTCGAAAACCGTGCACGCAGTTGGTGAAGAACTACCCCCCACATCGCGAGCACGGATCCTAATTGTATAACGCTCCACATGGCCCAGATGAAGACCATGAGATCCTCTTCATGACAGAATTGCATGTTCAACCCTGCACACGCGCCGAAAGCCAACGCTATCGTCGCCGCGATCGTGAAGCCGACGGAGGTGAAGAGACAGCGGTTCTGGCAGGTGATTTTGGTTCTTTTGTGTTGTTCTGAGGAGGGTCTATCGGCTTGATTGCAGTTTCTTCGGCAGCCGTTTCTGAGGATGTATATTCGTTTCAGTACATGTATTTTCTTTTTATGGAGGTGTTCAGGATGAGAGAATCTAGACTTACGCTTCGCAGTCATGGGACATGGCATAGGAACAGGAAACTCCACACATAAGTAGGATCACCAATGCGAAGAGGACCCAGAAAGCTACATGTGCATCTCGATTATTCAGCCCTCTCATGAACTGAGGGTACTCCTCGCACTTGTCCTCTCGACTTTTCGCTTTTCCGCTTGGCATCTTGAATATAGTATTTCTGATATTGTGGGAAGGAGGGAAAGAACTGGACCTGGCCGCAAAGAGTGTATCTGTTTGTCAATTGCGTAAATGAGTGTAGAAAGCAAATCAGGATGAAATTTCTGTAATAAAAGCATCATGGACATGAAAAGTTGGCGAGAGGTAGGCGGTTTCTAGTCCTGATAAGTAAAAGAAAAAGGCACGATGACGGCTTGTCAAGTTGACTAAGTTATTTTCGACTAAATAATTTTGGTCTAAACCAATACTAGAACGTTGAGACCTGGAACTAATTATACAAGGGTACGTGACGCCTAAATAAGACCATCCGGCCGCTACGTTGAGAACTAAAACATAGTATTTGGTTCATTAAGGTACTACACCGTGGCGTAAGTTGCCGAACGACAGGCCATTTCTACACCAAAAATGGCGAAAACTCGATTTGTAAGATAAGCTAAATTTAAATCACTACGAGATATTTCTTAATAACTACACTATCTATATCTTTGAGTTGACAAGCCTTATACCTAAGTTCTATGCTTAAGTTATGGTTAGAACTAACTACTACCAGTTTTCCTTACCTTGAAGGCCAAGGGGGGGTTTTTATCCACAGTTATACTACCGTTCTAGAACAGTTACAAAAAATAACTATTACCTTGTTATAACTCAGTTAGAATGATTTGTACATTATTCTCACTGAGTAATTATTACAAAGCCTGACTGTTCTAGAAGGATTTAGAATTTTATAATACTTATGATAGGTAACAATTATATATTTGTAATCGTTATATTATTAGAAGTATTAAATTAATCCTATGTAATCGTCCTGGGAGCGTCGTCTTGTGAGAACCCTTGACTGGCATGCGCACCTACGCACCCGCGCACCCAGCGCCCTCAGCTAGTGGCGCTCGGTCGAGCGCGCCCGTAAACTTTGTCCGAATCGGAATCGAACGATTTTACAACTTCTAATTTGTTAGCGTTGAGACTCGTCGAGTAGGAGCGTAACCGAGTACTTTTTTACCGTCCGTGCGCGCCCTGCTCCTAGGTAGGTTCCCTACTAATACTTCTATAATAATACAGCTACTTAAGTATTAGACCTTACTTCTATAACACCTTCTAAATATAAGACTTATACAATAGTCTTATTTTTTAAGTATTATAAAAACCCTAATAAAGACTAATTGTTCTATTATTACTATTGGAATATTTGATTACTTCGTATTATTGCTTGGAACACTTGCTAAGACGTAACGCTACTAGGACAATGCTAGGATAGTTACCACTCGTACTACCACGTAAAGAAAACCCCCTTAGTGTAACGAATACTCAAACTGGCTAACTAAACTTGGCTGGGTGTTCGCTGGTTGGTATGCTATGATAAGAAGAAGACTATCGGGTTGTTCACTTGGAAGTGAACTCGTTACTTGTATCAAAGATGTCAAACTAATATGATAAGATTGATAACTAAGTTGAGCACGAAGCTCCTATCTAATGGCAGACGTGCCAGTCTTATATAGAACCTTCTTGCTCGTTGATCATTATGATCACCCTGATCCCACTGATCCAGCTCAGCGTTGCTCAGTTGATCACCAATGATCAATGATGGTCACATGACTTCTATCAGATGAAATCCCTGGATCGCTTAGCTAGCCTAAGCATCCCTATTTGCTATAAGAGTGTGTTGATGGTGCTTAACCTGTCAGGATGCCGCCTGGTCTTTACTTATCACATGCCAACACGTGATTCGTGACACTTAGCCTTTAAGGTAGGCATGTACTAGAGTACCTACTAAAACTCCCTAAGTTCTAGGCGATGTAAATTGTAGATCCAGTCATTTTCCGACTTTACTAAGTTCCGCGTCAAGTACTTGGAGAGTAGTACTGATTTAGCTAGTCTTTCTAATAAGAGTCCCTAGTAGAATACTTTCAATATTTAATATATTTAATAACACGTTTATATAAATCCTAGTAGATAAACTAGTTTTCTTAACTCGATTTCGGGTGTAAAATGGGGGTGTCGTTCGGAAACTTACGTTTCGTTATTATAGTAATGCCAAGGTAATTGCAGTCCTTTTGAAGGGCAGTAGCAACAATAACATCTTGCTTGAATTCGGGAAGAAGATTACGCGCATAGTGAGTAACTCTGTTCAAGGACATGAGAGAGTTAAGACACGCGTGTGCCGTGAAACCTGATAGAACTCAAAAACACCCCGCACAATCAAGATCGCCCACCGTTTCAACGATTACTGTATACGACTTTAATAGCATCCGGTCGATCACTCCGCGATCTCAATAGCCGTTAGGCGATAAATCGCCGCTTTTTGGAACAGAGTGGGTACAACGCGGGCAAATAGTAAATTTCTGTCTTATTAGGTAGAGTGCAAATAACCTCAAAGAATAAGATAACACTTCGTAGAGCTCTAGAAATACGCTGGTTGTTTAGTAGACAGCCTCCGTAATAGCAATTACGTCGCCTACCCTGTCTATGTTAATGCTCCTCCTATGTTATATTCCCCGGTATGCCCCCTCGTGCCTGTGAATAAAGAAGTACTCTATAGCTTATAAGATTGTTTACTAGGTAATAATATACGAGTATATTTCTAGAGTTCTGAATAGCTTCAAGTTCTACCCATGTACTAAGTAGGAGGTCCTCAGATTAAGCAGCATTAGAGTACAGGCCTGCGAGACAACCTTTTGGGGACTTCGCCCACATCCAGGGACAAAACAGGGTATGGAAGTGAGTTTACAGGGCTAAAGGCCATTGAAGTCGTAAAGTCAATGCTGGACACCGTCACGTAGATCATATGTGAAAAAAGTCTATATCGCCTAGATATGAGTCTTTGAATCGCGGGTTTAGCTAAAAGGCGGGGCGGAGACGTAAATCAGCGACAGTGTCCAGCATTGACTGTCCACCCCCTTTACTTCGAAGTAGTACGTCTCGGCCCCGCCTTTTAGCTAAACCCGCGATTCAAAGACCCATATCTAGGCGATATAGACTCTTTTCACATATGATCTACGTGACAGTGTCTAGCATTGACTGTCCACCCCCTTTATGATCAGCGACAGTCTCTAGCTTTAAATGTCCACCCCCCTTATAATCGTTTTCAAGCGCCTGAAAGATAAGCTATAGTGACCTCTTGGCGTTTTCGCTACTTCACCCCGTTATTGATTGGTCTCTTTCTCGATAAGAGAACAAAAAATAGTCTGTTGTGGGGTATACCCGCAAGCGAGAAATTTGCTTCGGTTAGAGAGTAGAATATCAACATGGCTTGAATCTTTATACAGGGATTACCTATCTTGAGAGACAAAATTAGACCTGTTGCTATTACTCCATCCCTTCCATGAGCTCTGTGCGATCGAGAATCATCCCTTTCAATCCAATCCACTCCCGCAAAGTATCCCATTCTTCACCTTCCTCCTCCCCTCTTTTCCAAATCTCACGGAAACCCCACGCACCGGCAATTCTGTCAATTGCAGCTCTTTCATCTTCTCGAATCCATCGTTCTCTTAGCGGAAGACCCGGTGTCCACGTGACACGGTCCATTTGATCATTAGCTGTGGTCAGGGCCACTATACCAATCGTAGCAGTAAAGCCAAGATATGCGACTAATCCAGTAAACGCAACATTTGTAGCCATGCCAGTTTCCATTGTGGTCTGTAGATGCGCTAATTGAGATGCAACTGCATAAGCAGAAACGGGAGCTACAACGACGCCAATTGCGGGGACAAGGCCCAATCGTATGAATTTGGCACGGCGGAATGCTTTCGTAGCATATGAAAACGCAACCAAGTCCATTGCAGCATCCAAGTCATTGGCGTCAATGGCAGCCTCAAGAGCCCGATCTGCAACCGGTTTGGGCACAGCATTGGAGACTTTATCTGGATTTTGTTCCTTGTATTTGATGGGAGATGAACCTTCTTGGGCTATTGGTTTGTTCGCATATAAATAAAAGGCTTTAGCGAGGAATTCCGGCTTCTTCAAAGTCGCTTGTACATAAACGTACATTTCCAAAGCCTGTGGCGATATGAAGACGGGAGGATGCGAGATAACCTCGTCTGCCATTTTTGATAGTTCATCCTGCATGCGTTGTAGTGCTGCTGGTGGTCTTGAAAACGGAGTTTCTACTTCTGCGGGATCATCCAGTTTGAGTAGAGCAGATGCCGCGAGATCCTTATTTTCCTTCTTTTTTAATGGATTTGGAGATCGCTCGGCAACCAACAGATCCGCGACTCTTTCGCAGGACGCTAGAAAACTGTTGACTTGACCTTCTGAAGGTACTTCAGGCGTAGATAGTAGAGACTTGTACTGGACAACTACATCCTCAAAGGCTTGCTCCAATGGCGGAAGCGCTGATAGTGAAGAAGTGTCACGAACATACTGTCGCCCAGGTTGTCCAGCATTGTGTGAATTGAATGGTCTGCCCTTCAACGCTGCCGAGGTTGGTGTGGATCTCTTGACACCTTGAAAATTTGGGTGTCGAGCGGAGAAGAGTCGTGTGGTCGTATTATTGGATCTAGAAGTTGAGTTTCGCAGTCTGGGTCGGGCTGCTCTCGTTGGCCGAGCAAGCAGAAAGTCGCAGAAATGGCATATATCTGCCCGAGGGCGCAGAGCGTGTTTCGACATGTTGGAGAGTGTTGCGAGGGTTGTGTTGGGTCTCAATTGCTTCCCGCGCAACAATTGATGGAGGAGGTCTGTGGATGAGAGCAGTGGCTGGGCAGTGGCAGTGGCGGCAGTACAATAGTACGGGGACAGTAGCAGACGAATGAGAGGCCCTGAATGCCCTGACCCCTGTACGCTGACGGACGCGAGGCTGAAGGGATCTCCCGTCGGCTTCTTTTGGTGGACCTGCACCTGCGCCCATGAGGGTGACGACGATCTGATCATTTCTCTCATCTTTCTGCCTCAATCTGCCTCCCAAACTGCTGTGAATCACAGAGTTCACTATCCTACGCCAGCAGGCAGACGTAGTCACCCAATCCAACCCATCGATATATACAACTTTCGCTTCCAGTCCCCTCTTTCCGTATCGACTCTTTCACAACTCACGCTGGCATCGAAGCGCCCGGTCTATTGTTTGTTCGACAGCCACCTAAATTACATTACCAATTTGGAAGAACAACACCAACACCCAGAATGCCTCCACCACCTCCTCCGCCGCCTCCTCCTATGATGGGAGGTCCACCTCCACCTCCACCACCACCGGGAGGCTTACTGTCAAGGCCCCCCGCTCAGAATAGGGTGAAGCCCCCCGCTACCGTATCTATGCCCGTGGAATCCTTGGGCTAAAGCAATCAATTCATGTTGCTGATTCATTCATAGGGTGCTCTTCTCTCAGATATCTCCAAAGGAAAACAATTGAAAAAGACCGTGACAAACGATCGATCCGCGCCGATTGTTGGAAAAGTAAGCTCAGCATCGGCGCCCTCTCCATTAGCAGGCGCTCCAGCGGTGCCGGGAATGTTGAGACCACCAGGAGGGGCACCACCAGTGCCAGGAGGAGCAGTAAATAGGGTGCGAAGTAACAGTGATCAAGGGGGAAGGGAAACCGGAGGCGCTTCAGGAATAGAGCAACCCCCACAGCTCGGGGGACTTTTTGCTGGTGGGATGCCCAAACTAAAAAAGCGAGGGGGAGGTGTTGATACAGGAGGTAACTTATACAAAAACATCCTACACGATATTGAAATTTCAGTGTCTAACTGTCACAGCGAACCGAGATTCATCATATACTTCAGATCCCGAGTCATCCTCGCGGACTTCTGCTCCAAAACCACCAACAATGGCAGCTCCACGGCCACCAACCGCTGCACCCCCAAGACCTGGTGTACTTAGTGCAGCAACTACACCAAGTTTCCAGCCTTCGATAGCAAATTTAAGAAAAACTGGTCTCACGCCTGGGCAGAGACCTATGTCTTCAGCATCAATGAAAGGTCCACCGCCTCCAATAGGCAAAAAACCCCCTGCTCCCCCACCAGGAGGACGAAAGCCCTCTTTTCCAGTCCCTCCGCCCCCTTCTTCAGTGGCACCACCACCACCGCCCACAGCAGCTCCCCCATTACCAGGCACCCTGCCTCCAGCAGCTCCTCGATTACCACCACCATCTCGTTCACAGGCACCACCACCCCCTCCGCCGCCAACCTCTCCGCCGCCAACCTCTCCGCCGCCAATGACGAATGGTCAAAGTCTTGCGATGCAAGCTGCTAAACGTGCTGCAGGACAGGCTTCTCCAGCAGCAGCTCCCCCGCCTCCACCTCCCGCAACTAATGGGCCTCCGTTTGGTGCCCTATCATCTTCATCTTCCGCTCCACCTCCACCAATTAGCAGAGTTGGTACCCAGCAAGCTCCGCGATCGATGTATGATCCGAGCTCTTACACATTATCTTCCAACGGGGGTCTACCGAAGAATCCCAGCCCTAGCCGAGATTCGGAGGCTTCAAGACGGGTAGTGATCAACGACCCTCGATGGAAGTTCCAGGACGAATCAGTTTTACCCAAACCCAGAGACTTTATTGGCGGGCCCAAAAAATATAGAGCAGGTCGGGGAAGCAGCGTGCCATTGGATTTGGCGGCGTTTCAATAGAGTAGAAGTTGCATCAAGAGCTACGAAGGAGGTTATTGTATCCATGCCTTTTGTGCATTTAGCGGCGACCAGGTACTTAGATCAGGATGAATCACGGCCAGGAAAGGAGTATGCAGTGGGAAAGGTTAGGTATGGCTTACAGGACCCCAATGAGGGCCCCAATAAATACAAAGAAATTTTGAATGTGTTCATTTGACGACCTCATTCTTGAAGCAGGAATTTGTCTGCAAATCTTCTTTGCTATGATTTATTTCCTTTGTGCATCATGGGGGAAGACAATTGTGAAAATGCTATGTCAGACCAATTGCTTGGGTTGAAGGTATTGTTGTGGTGCGGTGCAGAACCGCAGAAGCGGCGCATGGCCGCGATTGTGCCGTTGTGGGCCAAAGAGACACGTTTTAATCCGAGTCTACATAATAAGCTTGAACCCTCGACCGATCTAACAGTAATCTACTCAACACCATACCTTCCTTTTTCCCGCCCGCCAGCCAGCCAGTCAAACCCACCCATTTCACTTCTTGCCCTACTGGTGGCCCAACGATACCTGTCCTAACTTCATCCTCCGCATTGATTGATTTGGTGTACTTAGTACTTCCAGCAGGACTGCGACAATGGCACAAATACGCGGAACGGCAGGCTATAATCTGGGCGGCCAGAACAACTTTGGAGGTCCCAGCATGGGAGACAAAGGGAGCGACCCAAGTCCGCTTGATGCGATTCGAGAGCAGACCAGCAAGATTGAAGATTTCCTGGACACATTCAGTGATCCTGTGAAGCCGTACGTCCCTCCCTATGCTGTGCTATGGCAAACAAGCACCAGAAGCTTCCCGGATGCAGGCAAGGACAGCTCATAGCTCCAGGGCGCCTTTCATGATCTGCGATTGTCTTATGCCTGGTAAAAACAGTGTACTGATATTCCTGTGCTCTTAGATACCTACCAGCAATTGGGCGATTTCTCATAGTTGTCACTTTCTTGGAGGACGCGGTCCGAATCATTACCCAATGGAACGATCAGTTATTGTACCTCCATGATTGGCGAAAGAGTAAGCATAATTGCCTGTCTATTTTTACTTTATAGGGAAAACTAATATTTTGGTGCTGGCAGTTCCATCTGGTCTCACCCATTTGTTCCTGATCATCAACGTCATCGCTATGCTCTCTTGCTCATCCCTTGTTATCGCTCGAAGATACTCCGACTACGCTGTTGGTGGACTTATTGGAGTTGTTGTGACACAAGCTTTGGGATACGGATTGATCTTTGATCTTAACTTCTTCCTACGCAACTTGTCAGTGATGGGTGGTTTATTAATGGTTCTCTCCGATTCATGGGTACGGAAATCAAAGGCCTTTGCTGGATTGCCATCCATTGATGAGAAGGATCGCAAGATGTACTTCCAGCTTGCTGGACGTGTCCTCTTGATCTTTCTCTTTGTTGGCTTTGTTTTCAGCGGTGAATGGAGCATCTGGAGAGTAATTGTTGCTGCCTTTGGTTTTGTGGCATGTGTTATGGTTGTCGTTGGTTTCAAGGCAAAGTTCAGTGCTATCATGCTTGTCCTTATCTTGAGCGTCTTCAACATATTGGTTAACAACTTCTGGACTGTAAGCACACCCTATCCCAAAAATCAAATTCCCAAACTAATAATCCTGTAGCTCCATGAGCACCATCCACACAAGGATTTCGCAAAGTACGATTTCTTCCAGATCCTTTCCATCGTAGGAGGACTTCTCCTTCTCGTAAACAGCGGGCCAGGAAAATACAGTATCGATGAGAAGAAGAAGGTCTACTAAGTAATGAGGCGAATGAGACATGAAGGGAGAGATTTACTTGGCCACTCTAGGAGGAAAAGGAGTAGCGAAACCTTTTTAGGAAAGCAAAGCAAGCAAGTAAAACGAAAACTACTGGAGGGGGTTTCCCGCATTGGGTGGAGTTCAATCATGATCAAGCAATAAGGAAAAAGGGAAAGGACGTCTGTCTCTGTCTTTAATTTTTTTTCTACTGCAGAAAAGAATATACTGGAGAGACTTTTTGATTTGTGTTTTTCTTCTCCTTTCCGGAATCTGGGCGGCTTCCTCGAAGGCATTAGCATCTTACGTCTCTCTATTTCAAACATGTAAAATTTTTCAACTGCGAAATTTTCATCGAATGAGTTCTCTCTTTCCCGAGTGGGCTATCATGAAACTTGACACCTTGAGCTTAGAGCTTGCGCCTTGACCTCCGTCATTGTAACAAAGGAAAATCTCGGACTCCCGCTCGTACTCGTAAAGTAATGATGGCCTCATCTTTAGAAAAAAAACATGGCAGTTCTTCCGTGTCGTGGTCTTCTTTGCTGCGGTTACTGTATAGTTCACACTTGGATTTACGGAGTACCGTGCCGTGTCACTTGCCGAGGCTATAAAACTTTCGAGGATGGCATGGTCTTTTCTATGGGAAAATGCCACAGTGTTCGTAGGCTAAAGGTGATTAGTAGGTGGTATTGCCGGTGAACCTAAAGTTCTGTACCAAGGTAGGTAACCAAGTACCGAATAAAGCTAGCATTGTTCTAGAATTTTTCTTGCTGGGGTTTTACTCATCGAGTTTCTCCCGGAATGAACTAGTCCTTTTGTCGAGAGAGTACTGGAGTGGGAGTGAGAGTGCGGATGGACCGGTTCCTTCTATCTTGCTCGTTCTTGGGGGGTGTTTTTGGTATCATTTGGAATAACTTCCTCTTCGTTTATGAGTGAGGGTTCTTCTGGTATTGGCAGGTGCATTTCGAGGTGGCTGTTTCATACGGTTTGGGCTTCTGCATGTTTGTATGAGGAAATGAGGTTATGGGTTCGTCGTGTTGCATGGTTGAGATTGCTTTCAGGTTTTTCTTTTCTCAGCTAGAGGCTTCCCTTGGGATGTTGTCGGGGTTATGTGGTTGTGGAATCTTCATGGAGTATTGGCTGCTTCAATTCCTTTGGTCTTCTGTTTGATATTCTAAATTGACGTATCGGCACGCGCATTGAAATTCATTGCTGCGTTGATAAATTTTGTGGCATCTGGGTCTTTGATAGGACCACACGAGGAATACGCATGTCGGACGGATATCTGATATTTAGGACGACTCGATTCTTGGGGATGATCTTCTCTGCGAAATGCTTCTTCTTTGGCAGAGAATATTGGGCCTGAGATCCAGATTTGGGATATCTAGGATGCTTGGGATATTGGAGAAGTAACTTGATGTCTTCTTGGGTGGCATTAAAGAAGACCTCAAGGGTCGTACGATTACTGAAGCTGTACCTAAGAGCGCGCCATTAGTCATCTCGTATGAAAAGTTGCTTATTTTCAAAGTTGATAGAATTGCTACTTCGAAGTACAATTCAATCCCCTTGATCACTAGGTTAAGATTGATTATTACATAAGCTTATACAGTTTTGTCGGGTCCCAATACACTGACGCCCCGGCGTCAGTTTAGAGCTGACTAAGCGCGGGTTTTCACGCCCCCCCACCATCCACGAAC